CAACTCTACCTTGGGTAAACGCGCCAGAGGTCAATGTCCCAAAGAAGCGAAATCACAATAATCACCACCGGTCCCTTATTCTTACATAAATTAATGGTTAATTTGAGATATGCTCTACAGTTTCCCCTATATATCTTTTATTACGCCCGATATATATCATCCACACCTTCGTGATATCTCAAGTACCTTTCACCACATCTTAGCTCTGTCCTCCACGCCTTCCCCTCAAAATCCTCATCACCTTCCTCTATATGTCCTCTTTATCATCCCCAAATATCACCTATATATCCCTGACGTCACATATATAACCTTCACTACATCACCTTAGATGCATCCCTGACAGCGTCACACATACATCCTCGTCTACCACTCGCCATATATCCCTGACAACGTCACATATACATCCTCGTCTACCACTCCCTGACAACGTCACCTATATATCCCTGACAACGTCACATATATATCCTCGACTATATCACCTATATATCCCTGACAACGTCACATATATAGCCCTCGACTATATCACCTATATATCCCTGACAACGTCACATATATATCCTCGACTACATCACCTATGTATCCCTGAAAACGTCACATATATATCCCCGACTATCACTTATGTAGTCCCCATGCATACACCTTCCCACCGATCTGCCGACAGACCAATACACACACTCCCGCGCTTTCCCACCCACTTCAGCCGCCTGTCTCCCAGTCCCAGAATCACGGTATTTTCCCTCCCACCCAAGCCTGTATGTGATGCAAAATCCCTAAAAGAACAAGTCTCGATTTTGCTCAGGTTCACGACTCTCCCATATCACTGGGGCTTCTTTTGCAGTTTAATGAGAGTTAAATATTACTCTAAAATGACACTTAAATGTAACTCTAAAAATATATATTTTTAAGACTAAGCGTGAGTGTAACAGTACATCTCCTTGCCGCTCGCCACCCCGCCATTCTAGTCCTCCGTATCACACACTCAGTCCCACCAACATTACTCTATAACGATGACGATCAACTACACCAAACAAAGACGACACGCGGACAAGTTCATATAAAACACAAAGAGAAATTTGACCTCGGGTCACCAGACCGTGAAATAGTGGCCACGCGCTCCGTCCCAGGGCCAACAGTGGCCTCTGATTCGAAATTTAGAATGTTTCCGATTGGCGAAAACATAATCGCGATGTTATATACTGACCATGCGATAACTGAAAAGTGTCTGGGTGATTAATTGAGCACTGAAAGAGACGTGTTGTCGTTTCAATGGAGGCTAAAAAGTAATCTACTCGTGTCACTGTGTACAAACACTGGTCGCTTTTACCGAACAAAAACTGTGTGGGAACAAAACGGGTACGTCAAATATATGGTTTATCTGGAGGTTGATATAAACACCTGGATTTTGAATCCCACCGTTTTTCAAAGTTACCTCGCCGAGGCTCCGCTTTGCTTTGACTAAAGAATATATGTGCCTAAATGAAAGTGTCCTATCATACAATTTCATCGAGGAGAATTATCCCCAGTTTTCTGTTGGAAAAAATTTCTTTGAAACATTTACACTTGCAATATTTCTTTTGGGTGGCACTAATTCCATATTTAACAGATCACCGTTGACATGGTGGCCGCAGTTTGTTCCTGTTATATAACACGGCCCGGGTGCCGTGTACAAAGCGATCTTAGCGTTAAGGTGATCGTAACTCCCATACTTTAACATAGACTTACGACTGGTCCTGTTTCACAAAGCGATCTTAGCGTTAAGGTGATCGTAATTCCCATACTTTAACATAGACTTACGACTGGTCCTGTTTCACAAAGCGATCTTAGCGTTAAGGTGATCGTAATTCCCATACTTTAACATAGACTTACGACTGGTTCTGTTTCACAAGACGATCTTAGCGTTAAGGAGATCGTAATTCCCATACTTTAACATAGACTTACGACTGGTCCTGTTTCACAAAGCGATCTTAGCGTTAAGGTGATCGTAATTCCCATACTTTAACATAGACTTACGACTGGTCCTGTTTCACAAAGCGATCTTAGCATTAAGGTGATCGTAATTCCCATACCTTACCATAGACTTACGACTGGTCCTGTTTCACAAAACGATCTTAGCGTTAAGGTGATCGTAATTCCCATACTTTAACATAGACTTACGACTGGTCCTGTTTCACAAAACGATCTTAGCGTTAAGGTGATCGTAATTCCCATACTTTAACATAGACTTACGACTGGTCCTGTTTCACAAAGCGATCTTAGCATTAAGGTGATAAGTAATTCCCATACCTTACCATAGACTTACGACTGGTCCTGTTTCACAAAACGATCTTAGCGTTAAGGTGATCGTAATTCCCATACTTTAACATAGACTTACGACTGGTCCTGTTTCACAAAACGATCTTAGCGTTAAGGTGATCGTAATTCCCATACTTTAACATAGACTTACGACTGGTCCTGTTTCACAAAACGATCTTAGCATTAAGGTGATCGATTCCCATATTTTAACATAGTAATTCCCATACTTTAACATAGACTTACGACTGGTCCTGTTTCACAAAACGATCTTAGCGTTAAGGTGATCGTAATTCCCATACCTTTAACATAGACTTACGACTGGTTCGTAATTCCCATACCTTACCATAGACTGGTTCTGTTACGACTGGTTCTGTTTCACAAAACGATCTTAGCGTTAAGGTGATCATAATTCCCATACTTTAACATAGACTTACGACTGGTTCTGTTTCACAAGACGATCTTAGCATTAAGGTGATCGTAACTCCCATACTTTAACATAGACTTACGACTTAAAGATCTTAGCGTTAAGGTGATCGTAACTCCCATACTTTAACATAGACTTACGACTTAAAGATCTTAGCGTTAAGGTGATCGTAACTCCCATACTTTAACATAGACTTACGACTTAAAGATCTTAGCGCTACGTATTTATTAATTATGTCCATATATATTCACATGGGTCCAGTGTTACATTCAACTACGTCCATGCATCCATTCGAGGGTCCAAGAGATTATTCAACAACATCCATTAGGGATGCAAGCGCTCATTCAACCATTTCCATTGGAGGATCCACGTGGTCATTCAACAGCATTCATTCGAGGATCTAAGAATTCTTTATTTAACGTTTATTGCAAAGTCAAACCTTCACTTAATTACATCCATGCTTTCACTCACTACATTCATTCACTAAATTCATGCGTTCATTCACAACATCCATGCGTTCATTCACTATATCCATGCGTTCATTCACTACATCCACGCGTTCATTCACTATATCCATGCGTTCATTCACTACATCCACGCGTTCATTCACAACATGCTTGCGTTCATTGACAACATGCTTGCGTTCATTGACAACATGCTTGCGTTCATTGACAACATGCTTGCGTTCATTGACAACATGCTTGCGTTCATTGACAACATGCTTGCGTTCATTGACAACATGCTTGCGTTCATTGACAACATGCTTGCGTTCATTCACAACATGCTTGCGTTCATTGACAACATGCTTGCGTTCATTGACAACATGCGTTCATTGACAACATGCTTGCGTTCATTGACAACATGCTTGCGTTCATTGACAACATGCTTGCGTTCATTGACAACATGCTTGCGTTCATTGACAACATGCTTGCGTTCATTGACAACATGCTTGCGTTCATTGACAACATGCTTGCGTTCATTGACAACATGCTTGTGTTCATTGACAACATGCTTGCGTTCATTGACAACATGTTGACAACATGCTTGCATTCACAACATGCTTGTGTTCATTGACAACATGCTTGCGTTCATTCACAACATGCTTGCGTTCATTGACAACATGCTTGCGTTCATTCACAACATGCTTACACCCACTCAGGAGCGTCTATACATTCACTCAACTTCGACCTATAGTTCATTCAACTACAATCATGCGTTCATTCACCTGTATTCATATGCGTCTTCACAGGTCACCAGTCATAGCCATGGTTTATGCTTTCATTCCACTTTACTGTTTCGAGACTGTTTTCAGCAAACCGTGCATGTGGTAAGAGGTGACTAACGGCACTGGGTGGTGATGCATACATGGCGTAGATCGATCTGCTGATACCAGTCACTGAATTGTCTGGACCTGAGTCGAATATGTAGAGACTCTCGATACAGTTGAAATATAATGAGTTTTGCGTTAAACAAAGAAGCAGAAAAAATATGCTTCCCTGGGATAGACAGTATCTTTTTTTGACGTATAGAAAAACCTGATTTTCGCCACCCCATCAGTACTGTCAATATGATATTTTTTATGGTCTAAGCCTTGTAAGAGCTAAAACAAATATGCATAAGGAAGGCAACACAAACGACGTTCCCCCGCTCCCCTTCCCCAATCCCAAACAAAAATTTATACTAAACAAATAAAACAAAACCACACACAAAAAAAAGCCCAAAACAAAACCATGCGAAAGCTGAGAAACAAAAGAAACAGACACCCCGGCCTCTCCTCCTCCCCACCAAAATAAAAATAAATAAATAAATAAATAAATAAATAAAAATAAATAAATAAATAAATAAATAAATAAATAAATAAATAAATAAATAAATAAATAAATAAATAAATAAATAAATAAATAAATAAATAAATAAATAAATAAATAAATAAAATAAAAAATAAATAAATAAATAAATAAAAAAAAAAAATGAATAAATAGATAAAAATGAATAAATAAAAATAAAAAATAAATAAATAAATAAATAAATAAATAAATAAATAAATAAATAAATAAATAAATAAATAAATAAATAAATAAATAAATAAATAAATAAATGCTGTTCAGAGAAAATCAATGTGCATTTAATGACTTCATTGAAAACCTTTACACCGCATTGAGCAGCCTCGGCATGAAGGCAATTTGTTACAACACATTGTTTGTTATCAACACAACATTGAATGTCAAGAGGTGTTGAAGAAAGCTATGTGCTCGCTATCAGTAACTTGCCGAGAACCGCTAGGCAGGTCTGCAAATGAGAACGTACATTGTTGGAGGACAGGACATGTAAGGAGACTTATAACCTTCAGGCTTCTGTTACACAGGTAAACACTCTATGCATGAGTTTAATGTTTATTAACTAATTGTTTAAACTAATTTTAACTGATTTATATTAAAGTACAACTAATTTTAATTAACAGAAAAAACATTTTTGCCGGAGGGGCTGTGACTGACCCAATCGCCTCAGTTGACAAAATTCGTTGTGTCGAGTTCGTTCGATTACGAGAGCTAGTGAGCGAGTGAGGTGGGTTTTACGCCGCTTTTAACAATATTCAAGCAGTATCAAGGCGGGGGACACCAGAAATGGGTTCACACATTGTACCCATGTGAGAAATCGAACCCGGATTTTCAGCGTGACGAGCGAACGCTCTAACCATTAGGCTACCACACTTCCCCCATAGGAAAGCTGGACCGTGGGGTCGAATCCTGGTCCGCCATCATTATGTTACTTGGTTTGTCTGGACCAAATCCATGCTTATATGTTTTTCACTTACTGGTAAAGAACCTTTAATATACCGTGATATAACTGGAGAACCTGTTCAAATCAGCTTTAATCCATTAGAATAGATTCATGTTTCGCGTGTGTTAAAATTCAATTCTTTTATTGTCATGTGGTCCTTAAAACACCTGAATATTGTTTTCGAAACACTTTGAACTTTTTGTTTAACTTTGACATTCTCACATGTGTAAATATAACTTTTACCACACAACAATTTTAGCTACGCCAAAATTACTCTATCCAAATATATACTGAACAGCAAAAGAAACGCAAGTCTGGCCTTTCGTCACTTTACCACGAACGTTCCATCAACATGAACGCTTACTTTTATGAGGTTTCATTTTTTCGAGACTTGCGTTTCTTTTGCTGTTCAGTATATATTTGACTGATTAGATCTGCAGTGCGGTTTTAGGCAAAAACGTTACCGGTCCTCGGAAACCACATTCGTACTTATACATTTCATACTTCCAGTAACTGGTTGGTCCTCAAAATAACCGGTCCCTGAAATGAGATATGAACAGTTTCTGATTTACACAAGGAAGTAATTATTATGTCTGACCCTTCGGTAGTACGCTGTTTCACAAAGCGATCTTAGCGATAGGGCGATCGAAACTCCCGTACTTAGACCTTAGTCCGTCTCACAGTCAATGAACCACGTTATTTCCCCCACTGCCTAGCTCTCCCTGCAATGCTATAGCCCAAAATGACGCAAGTCTAGATTTCCTCAGGTTCAGGAACCCGTGAAGATCCGGGTTAGAATCTTAAATCTTCAGCAACCCATGCTTGTCATAAAAGGCGACTAACGGGACCGGGTGGTCAGGCTCGCTGACTTGGTTGTCACATGTCATCGTATCTCAATTGCTTAGATCGATGCTCATGCTGTGGATCACTGGAATGTCTGGTCCAGACTCGATTATTTACAGACCGCCGCCATATAGCTGGAAAATTGCTGAGTGCGGCGTAAAACTAAACTCACTCAGTTCAGTTAATATCCCATCTCACTGGGGCTCACTAATTTAAATGGGTTTATTTGTTACTATAAAAATACATATATTCAGAGACTAAGCGTTAGTCTACTTAGACCTGTGCGATGGCGAGAAACAAATGCTAATTCTTGGTCTGAAATATGCGTCTACACCAGGATGGTTTGGACTTTGACCTTTAGTTCTCCCATTGAGGATTGTCGTATGACAAAAGCGGTGCTGTGGGGCTCTAGGAAACAAATTGTGTGTGTGTGTGTGTGTGTGTGGAGTAGGACACGCTTATATGGTAAACCGTTTTCACATTTAAGAAATACTGATATCCTAAATTGCTTTAAAGATATCTTGAATGAAACTAGAGATAGCTTGAATTGAATTGAAGATATCTCGAAAAGAGAAAATTATAGATATCGTAATGGATTAAGGATATGATGAAGCATATTAATGATATCCTGAAAAATGCTGATATCTTGAATTGACATATAGATATCTTGCAATGAATTAAAGATATCTCAAACAGAGATAATGTTTTGATAAATTGCTGATATATTACATTGTTTTAAAGATATCTTGAATTGAATTGGAGATATCTTGAATTGAATTGGAGATATCTTGAATAGAGATATTGAAAACGATTTCTAGTATGGCAAGCCGTTTTCGCCAGCACCTGGTGTCACCACTTTTGTGCGTTTTACGCGGAACAGAATATGTTTCGCCAGATAACCGAGACTGGTTTATCTCTGGCGTGATCGTTTCTAGTATATTTACCAACGTTTTGATATTAACTCTAGTAAATTCAACCAAGTGTATGTTTTTCCTACGAAACCGAATACCATAATACACATATAATATGGACATTATTGTTCCGTATGGCATCTTGAATCACATATCCAGATTTAGCCAACATATACTACCCATCAAAAGTTTAGACTCACTTAAAGCATTCGCTGTATGTTATGCACATATGTGTGGTTACATCGAAGATGAATTTCTCCACTAACTTTGGGGAACCAACTGCAAACTTTATGCAGATGAATTGCACGAGGATCATGCAATAAATTGCTAAAAAGCATGTGCAAATATCGTGCATGTGAACAGCTGTGGTGTGGTGTAAAATTTTGTTAAAAATTCGCCAATTTTCACTCAGTTTCATCATTTTTTAACCCATGACAATAATCTTTTCAACGTTACGAATTTGTTTTACAATACATCAGTTCATGTGTAAACAGTACCTTTAAACAGTATGGAAAAGTTTGCAAAATCTAGTTTAGAAGAGTTGACTTAAGTAAGTGGCTACATTTACACTAGTGAGACTAAACTTTTGATGGGGAGTATAGTTAAACAGGGTGCCGTTGTACAAAACAACCTTAGCGCTAAGGCTAAGGCTATGTTAAGGTATGGGAGTTACGGTCACCTTCCTAGCTAAATATCAACATTATGAAGACGTTCCCAAAACAATCCACCCGCAGGAGGGTTTTGGATTACAGGGTGTCAAATTAACTGTCAGTGGTTATGTCACTCGTAATTTGGCTTTTCAATGGCCTCCTGGCCTATTTGGGGGCATGGAGATATGGAGTTAGGGGTTTGGGGTTAGGTGCTGGTAAATCATGTGCAATGCATTGACCTTTTCTGATACGCGCAACGTGCGTCTTCTCTATACGTACAGAGTTTGACCCATAGACCAAGAATACCATGTTACTTTCCTAGTATAAACATTAATAACCATGGCTACAGAGATGGTAAAGATGGCAGTAGCATATTCAACTTCATCAACTCTTTGTGGGTTGGCCTACTGGTTAAAGCATCCGTTAATTACGTCAAACGTTTCGATCCTACACATGGGTAAAATATGTGAAGACCATTTCTCGTGTCCCCAGCCATGCTGTCGCTGAATCATTGCTTGCTTGGCTTAAAACCTTACACACTTATTCGTGATGTTTCAGGGAGAATTTCTTGATGGCCAAGCCACGTGTTGTAAAATCAACTGACCAGTGAGGGTTGAGAAACGAGCGGATCTCAATATATAAAACATGGAAGGATCAGCAGTTACCGAACTAAGCTCTTTATTACCAACTGTGAATAGGTTTAGTAAAGAAGAAACCAGTCATAAAGAACAGACCAATGATAGAACGGTTCTTATGAAGGAAGCTGATTCTGACCAATCAGAAGACACGTTACATGCTATCGATGCAACGTTCAGGATCCCCCTTTTGCGTGACCCCGTGAACCATGAAGATCCAACCAAGCGTAAAATTGACTTCAGCGTTCGAGTAGGCGCCTCTTTGGCGAGAACGGAGGATAGTTATGTTAGGATTATCCAGCGGGAGTTTGTTGGAACAGATTTATCCACGACGAGTACCGACACAAGTGCAGATAATTATCCCCGAGTCTTTCAGAAGGAACGCCGTGTGAAAGTGTCGCCTCGTTTTGGAATTACGTCAATTCGACGGCGGAGGGATAGCCGGAAAGGGTCACTACAAATCCTTCCGCCGAAGAGTTACATTACTGAAGAAACGGTGAGTATCAATTTCACATTGTCTCTATCACTGTGCAATATAACCACGCTAGACTAAAATCTAGTCTCTGGAATGAAAATCCTTAAATTTCTAAATTAAAATCATGAAATATAATGAGCACAGAGAGTGAGTGAGTGAGTTTAGTTTTACGCCGCTTTCAGCAATATTCCAGCAATATCACCGCAGGGTAAACCAGAAATGGGTTTCACTCATTGTACCCATGTGGGGAATCGAACCCGGGTCTTCGGCGTGACGAGCGAACGCTTTAACCACTAGGCTACCCCACCGCCCCGAGCCCAAAGACCATCTTCATTTAGAAACGGTAGTAATCTATGCTACACTTGCATGGGCTTTCTTGTATATACGTGTATTTGTTTCAGTTTATGACAGACTATTACCCAACTTGTGTGTTAAAATAGAGGCTTTACCTACTGTCTATCAAAGTGACCCTGAAACAAACATATTCAATACAGCCCATGCAAGTTCACATAAATTGCGGATTCTGAAATGATAGAGAGAGCTTCTCTTCTCCTTTTCATTATATTTTATTAAGATAATTTTACAGTTTTTTTTCAGGAAACTGCTTTTGATATAGATACTTTATAATTTATACAGTTTTTTATTGTAGAGACTAGATGTTAGTCTATTATTTATGATGAAATTGGTAACAAAATGCGTCATAATAATGCTCGACGAAATTAGTTATGTAGGCTTGGTTTGGTTTGGTGTTTAACGTCGCACTCAGCAATATTCCAGCTATATGTCGGCGGTCTGTAAATAACCGAGTCTGGACCAGACAATCCAGTGATCAACATCATGAGCATCGTTCTACGCAATTGGGATACAATGACATGTGTCAACCAAGTCAGCGAGCCTGTCCACCCGATCCAGTTAGTCGTCTCTTACGACAAGCATGGGTTCCTGAAGATCAATTCTAACCTTGATCTTCATGGATAGTTGTACAGGTGACAAAAAACATCTGTTTACAACTTTGGTACAACTAACGAATATCGAAATGTTGCTGGTAAACCAAGAAACATTCTGAGGTCGAATCCTTGTGAGTTTGGAACACAGGTTTCTGACAAGGGGCGCTACGCACCACAGCCAATCGCGGCGCCTTAAACGGCGGTACCATCCGTGCCGCCTCTGAATGGAAGGATTTTGGCCAAGGACTATGTACAGCGTGGCCTCTGTTCGGTCCGAATAAGCAAATGGTTTTAGAACTTAGCACATGTGACAGAGTTGCATCCCTTGGTTGTGTCAGAATCCGATGATGATCAATCACCTCACTGACTGCCTGCCACCGTAGTCCAGTAGTGTGACTTTGCTACAACAACATCATCAACAACAATACGTTACCCGAGAGAAAAGAAAATACACTTATCGAACTTTACTAGTCTGTCGTACAGACCCTGAAGCAAATATATCCAAGAAAGCCCACACAAGTCTAGAAAATGTGGCAAGTCTAGATTTCCTCAGCTTCAGAAAATGAAGAAGGTCTCAGGGCTCCTTTTCGTTATATTTTATATTTTTTTACTATGAAATTTTTTCAGTAAAATATGTTCATTTCAGAGACTAGTTGTTAGTCTAGAACTTTACGTATATGCACTGATCGTAACGTACTATTTAATGTGTAAGCGCTGCTGTTGTCCTTGAAATGTGTGAAGATGTTCTGAAGGGAAAGTTCTCACATCATACATTTACAGTGCCTGGCTCGATTCCAGCGTATAGGTCGGGCCGTCAAGATCATATCAAGCATATGTAGCACTCTCAAAAGGTAACTACTCTTCTTCACCATTTAAGAGTCCTTGAAAACACTGTACAGCCGAACTGGTCTCGTTATGTAATTGTCTCCACTTGACTTTGTCACTCAGTCATGCATTGGTACACCTGTAGTGACTACTTGCTGGTGCGCAACAGACCGGAAGTGACGAAAAGATGGCTTGAAACTAACTAGGTTCTGTATGGTAATACCTACATGTAAGAAATAGGTTCGGAAAATGCACTTCTGGATTTTTGTCAGGCCGAAAACACTCAAAAAGAAAACATACGCCAAGAAATGAAAGAAAGAAAAACATTCCTAGACTATTCATTCGCCTGCAGAACCTAGATTATTCCATCAGCAAATGAGTGCCGTAATCCAGACCGTCTCGGTCTTTGTCTCGGTCTCGGTCACAGGTCAAGACGCGGGAGCAGGTCAGCATCTATTGTCTGTAAAGGGGCTCTACTACTTTTCTTCCGGGAGAACTTCCGGAAATATGGACTTCCGGAGAAGTGCAAAAATACATAAGACGAGCCTCCTATTGTACGTAGTAATTTTATAGTCATATCTTGATGTTACGAAATGATTCTGTTTGGGTGTCCAGACACGTGAAGGAGAATGACACTCGCACTTGGTCGTCGGTGGAGATGTACTTGCACGTGCAGGATGACCTCAACAAGAAGTTGGCGTTCAACCCACTGAACTTCACCATGGTTGCACCGGTAAGATGACTCTTCATGTCCCATGTAAGAGACGGGTAACGCAGGAGTGTGCAATCAACAAGGGAGAACATATGCTTGGGTAACTGATTGGTAACATATACATGTAACAGAGGGTAACATGCACGTGTAACACACAGGAAACGCTTGAGTCAGGTGTGCAGATGACGTATGGTAACATACAACTCATTGGTAAAATACACAGCTAACATATGCAGGTAACGAAGGGTAACACAGAAAACATACATTGGCAACACGGATAACATAAGGACAATTTGCAGATATATGAGTAGCATATGCAGTAACAAAGGGTAGCGAATCAAAGGGTACACAAGTAACACACAGGTGCAACATATGCAGGTAACGAGAGGGTGAATCAAACTTCGGTAACTCACGGTAACAGGTAACATGATACTCTGCATCTGTCAGAATCAGATAACAGTGATGTCGTGTAGGGGATTGCATTAAGGGTGGGACGTGCAACAGGCCTTACATTACGGGTAATATACATTGTATCAGTTATGACTTTAGCTGAAACAGGCATGTAACTGTGATGCTCATGATGTTGATCACTGTAACATACACGTATCATTGATGACATTACGGGTAATAGACATGTAACAGCGATGACATTGTGGATAACATAATGTAACAGTGATGACATTACGGGTGACATGCATGTAACAGTAATGACATGACGGTAACAGACATGTAACAGTGATGACATTACGGGTAACAGACATTTAACAGTGATGACATGACGGTAACAGACATTTAACAGCGATGACATTACGGGTAACATGCATGTAACAGTGATGACATGACGGTAACATGAATGTAACAGTGATGACATGACGGTAACAGACATGTAACAGTGGTGACATGACGGTAACAGACTTTTAACAGTGATGACATTACGGGTAACATGCATGTAACAGTGATGACATGACAGTAAAAGACATGTAACAGTGATGACATGACGGTAACAGACATGTAACAGTGATGACATTACGGGTAATATACATGTAACAGTGATAACATGACGGTAACATGCATGTAGCAGTGATGACATGACGGTAACAGACATGTAACAGTGATGACATTACGGGTAATATGCATGTAACAGTGATAACATGACGGTAACATGCATGTAGCAGTGATGACATGACGGTAACAGACATTTAACAGTGATGACATGACGGTAACAGACATTTAACAGTGATGACATGACGATAACATGCATGTAACAGTGATGACATGACGGTGACAGACATTTAACAGTGATGACATGACGGTAACAGATATGTAACAGTGATGACATTACGGGTAATATACATTTAACAGTGATGACATTACGGGTAATAGACATGTAACAGTGATGACATTACGGTTAACATGCATGTAACAGTGATGACATGACGGTAACAGACATTTAACAGTGATGACATGACGGTAACAGACATTTAACAGTGATGACATGACGGTAACAGACATTTAACAGTGAAGACATGACGGTAACAGACATTTAACAGTGATGACATGACGGTAACAGACATTTAACAGTGATGACATTACGGGTAACATGCATGTAACAGTGATGACATGATGGTAACAGACATTTAGCAGTGAAGACATGACGGTAACAGACATTTAACAGTGATGACATATTGGTAGCCAAACAGGTAACAATGGTGACATCAGAACTTAGTGTATACATTACGGGTTAAACACAACACAAGAATAATCTCATGTACTAAGTCTAAGTATACGCCATATGGTGATTTTTCCATGTTGTTTTTCTTTGCATATTGGGTTTCGTGGTATTTATTCTAATCAATAACTCACGAATACTTTATACGTGACATTAACTGTTTTTGCACGCTTTTATTGGTTCTATTTCAGCCCCGGAAGGGAGAGAGATTAGAACACCTCTTACAAATACCCCCGTCGGATAGAACTGCCAAGGATATCAAAATGGTAAGAGTTTAAAAATGTGTATCACAGATCCACATGGCTTGCTTAATGGCGAAAGAGTGGGTGAACTTGGTTTTAAGCCACTTTTAGCAAATTTCTATCAATGGGTTTCAATGGAGGGAATCGAACCCAGGTCATTGAAGTGACGAGCTAACGCTTTAGCGACGTCACCACCCCTGTCCCCAATGTCGTCAAGGTAGACGAAACTTGAGGTCAGGTTATAGGATTGCTTCAGTGTATAAATACTATATACGATAACTGACACTATCGTCCATGCCTTCAGGCATACATCCCATATATGATTTAATTTGTGCATTATATCATTGTGTTTCATCCTTATTCCACTGAGATATTTTAATAAACATTTATTTCGTGTTGTTTTTTGACAGTAATTAGTTCGTTTTCTCAAAATGTATATTTGCCGTTTTGAATTTTCATTGAGCGAGTACCACATTGAGGTAAGTAATTAATGATTATCAACGAGTAAATTTATACCCATCACTATTCAGACTAAAATCTGATATAAACAAATATTTGTCCATATGAGCATTCACAAAATACAGTCAGTGTAACAAAATATCACACACCTCAATGTTGATAACTTGCTCAGTTACAATAAAATGCTCCAAATTTTAAATTAGATGTTTATTTTGGTGCTGTAGTATATATTATTTACGCTGTTTACCAGGATGCACGTTTACCAGGATAAAAATTCATTTTATATATTTTGAGATATTCGTATCAGCAATAGATCGATTTTTTCATTCTTCAGATTCTGGCGTATATCCGGGGGCATGCCTCCATTCGTGATTATCCCTCGGACGTCCAAATACATATGTGCAAACATATGTTATACCAGAAGTAAGTAATAGCATGTAAAAACATTAATGTATATGGATATAGTTCATATATCTGTGAAAAGTCCATAACTCAGGGATTCCACGACTGATTGCGATTTACAGCTTTTTTAATGATGTTTGACCAATCATGACATTTCATAACTGCCCCGGAACTAGTAGGAAGGGAAGTAACTCGTACGATCAATAATTCGACATTTACCGAAATGTGGAGTAAAATTTGTCTTTTAGAGTCTTTTAGTCATGTTTTTGCATTGCAAATGTACCCTAAAATGTATCTACCGGTTGATCATTATTGTATATAGAACTGGTGACTGTAAATGCGTTTTATTCAAACCGAATCGATATAAAAATGGCGACAGCATTCACGTTTGTACACACCGCCTCCACATGTTATTGCAGTTCTGATTGGTTGAAATATTTGCTATTTCATTCTACGTCATTCTATTTTTAGCGATCGGGAGTTCCCCTTGTCTCCTACGGGAGATTGCGCCGTGCGAATGTATGAGAATGCTTGTCATCTTTCATTCCGGTTTGATTAAATCTTAAATTCTTTGCTATGTCATGAGACATAATTAGTCAATATATATTAACAGACGAATTGTCAAGTCATTCATATGTTTCTTCAAACTGTGTTGGTCGTGTACAGTAGATCACTATATTCAGTGAAATGTTTCGAAACATGAACTAGTGCGAGGGTATTTTTCGGAGCCATCCCCCATTCTCGAAAACTCCACTGAGAAACAGATAGTGACGTCAGCCGATAGTTTTTACATGACATTCATATCTTAGAAAAGACAAACAGCAGCCCGTTTCCAGAATATTCCTGAATATTTAAGAATAACGTTTTCAAGTAAATATACGCCATCAAAGAGATATTTTACCTCCGCTTCTTTAAGTTTATTGAACGGTTTAGATTTTGTTTGTTTTGTTTGTTGTTTAACGCCGCACTCAGCAACATTCCAGCTATACAGAGGCGATCTGTTAATAATCTTGTCTGGGCCAGACAATCCAGTGATCAACATCATGAGCATCGATCTACGCAATTGGGATATGATGACATGTGTCAACCAAGTCAGGGAGCTTGACCACCCGATCCCGTTAGTCGCCTCTTATGATAAGCATGATTTGCTGAACTAACCCGGATCTTCACGGGTCTGGTGTGTTAAGAACCTTAAGTGGTTGATAAATTTTGCTTTTACATTCTAGACTAGTCAAATTTCTAAAAATGTGGATTTTAAGGATGCATGAGGCATTTTTGAGTAAAAGCAAGCAAACAACATTTTCTGGGGTAGTTTTTCGTGCTGAATACGAATCTGTTGTTTGCTAAGCTCAAAAATGCTTAATTAGGTCACAAATTGGGTTCAAAGGTCAATGAGTGCAAAATTCAATTTTTTTTAAAAAGTGTTTTATTTATCATTCTCCATTTAGTTTAGAACATATTGATTAATAATGGTACCACAGGATTTCAAAATGTTGGATTTCATGGAAATGCTGAAGGAAAAATTTCGTATTTTTGCAAATATCTCCCTTATGGAGCGACTTTTATTTTTTGCGTGAAGAGCTATTTTTTACAACCATTTTTGCTCAAAATGCAAAGCAAGGCTGAATCTTTTCCTTTTGTTGACAGAATTATATTCCAGGCAAACTGTTTAGGTCACAAAAATCGCATATTAAGCGCATAATTACTTCAAAGGTTAATGAGTGTGACAGGATGCGATAGGCATTTTTACATGTATGCCACACGAATGCTTTTATACTGCTTCACATGCATGTCAAATGGAACTGCTTTCATTCATGCAGTGAGTTTGATTAGTGATTTTAGCAACATAATTACCCACCGAACAGTTCAGGAAATCACAGGAACAGGTGGGAACCCTATCTGATAATGGCATTGATGGCACAGCTCTATGCTGGTTCAAGTCTGATCTGTCGTCCCGTCACCAGCATGTACTGATAGAGGATCATTACTCTAATCCAGCTCACTATTTTGTGGTGTCCCACAAGGACCGATCTTAGGTCCGGTCTTGTTCAGTCTTTACATCAAAGATCTTGGGAAAATCATGGAAGCCCACTATGTTGATCGCCATCACTTTGCTGATGATTCCTAGAATGTACAAAGTCTTCTTACCCACTATGGATCAAGCAACTACCGCCTTGAACGACCTACAACAGTGCTGTGAGGAAACCAAGAGCTGGATGTTTGACTACATGCTGAAATTGAACAGCTCAAAGACAGAGTGCATTCTACTGGGTCCTGCAAAACGTTGCTCACAGTGCTCATTTAATGCTCTTGATTTTGATGGAGAAAGTATTCCATTCTCACAGAAAGTAAGAGATCTTGGTGTCATCCTTGACTCCGACCTCTCTTTGGATGATCACATACCACATCTCTCTAGGATCTGTTTTGCAGCTCTACGCAATATCAGTTCCATTAGGCAATACCTGACAATAGATTCGGCAAAAACTCTCACCTTATGCCATGTAATGACCTGCCTGGACTGTTGTAACTCTCTCCTAGCCGTTGCAAACAAATCACAAATCCAGAGACTTCAACGAATCCAAAATGCTGCGGCATGTGTCGTGACTAGATCGAAGAAGTTTGACCACAACTCTCCCATTCTTCAATCTCTTCATTGGCTTCCAATCGAGAACCGAATCCGCTTTAAACTCCTCTGCCTCACCTACCGCTGCCTGTCTGGATGTGCTCCTGCTTATCTCTCCAATCTTCTTATGCCATACAAACCAGCTAGATCCCTTCGTTCTCAGGACAAAAACCTTCTGCTTGTTCCTGTAGCAAACAGTGTTCGCTACTGCAGCAGATCATTCGCCTACGCAGCTTCAACAGCCTGGAATGATCTTCCCCTCTCTCTCCGGAACACCAGTGACTTCTCTAGCTTCCGATCAAAACTGAAACTCACCTTTTCCTGATGTCTTTCCAACTTTGCTGAACTCTGAGCATATTTCAGTATGGATATATGCACGTTAGAAATGCCCTAGTATTTATATTATTATTATAATGTACATAGTATGAAGATGAAGGCGAAAGTGGAACATAAATGCATACAAGCCATGTGCTATGACTGAAGGATCGAGGCTGTACTAAAAGACTTTGCAATCACACATTTGGTTTTAGGAATCTTTGTGCCGGAGGATTTTGTTAGTTGATGCACTGCTTGTACTTTTTTATTCAAATGGTGCAGTGTGTGTGTACCAGGAGAGGTCATCAGTGGCGGTATATACGTAGCACTGGTGTAAGTTTGTTTCTATTCACAGGCCAAGGTTTATCATTTGAGCTTTGTATCATATGTCAGGAAACCAGTCAGTCTAAAAATACCCTCTACAACCAGACAAAACTGGGCATCTAATCCATTCTTGAGGCCACCCAGTTGAGGCACAAATTGAAACATTGCAAAGTTCGGTCATCTGTAGACAGGCTTTCGTTCCTCTTGGAGAATCTCCTGACGGCAACCCTAACCTAAAATGGCATTAGGGAAAAATAAATGTAAGGCTTGCCAAGGAACAGTCCAATGGTTCACAAGGAAATGAACAGACTGGTGTTTCAGATGAAGGATACCGCTTTTTACGCAGGGGCTCCGAGCCGACCAGTCCTTGTTGTACCCATTAATGCCGAGCGCCAGGCAGGGACCAACAAGTACCATATTTTAACGTCTTTTGGTATGACGCGGTCGGGGATCGAACCTTCGCGACCTTCCGCTCTCGGGCGGACGCTCTAACCACACTACACCACAGACGGTCGGAAACGTTGGATTGATTGACTGATGATGATGCTGATGATGATGCTGATGATGATGATGATGATGTAACAACAACATGGTTCGTCCACCGGACGTTGTCATAAACTTTGTTCAAGAATAGACTAGTCAAATTTCTCAGAAATGTGAATGCATGAGGCATTTTTGAGTAAAAGCAAGCAAACAACATTTTCTGGGGTAGTTTTCGAATCTGTTGTTTGCAAAAATGCCTAATTAGGTCACAAATTGGGTTCAAAGGTCAATGAGTGCAAAATTCAAATTTTTAAAAAGTGTTTTATTTATCATTCTCCATCCATACAATGAACTCAGTTTAGAATATATTGATTAATAATGGTACCACAGGATTTCAAAATGTTGGATTTCATGGAAATGCTGAAGGAAAAATTTCGTATTTTGCAAATATCTCCCTTATGGAGAGCGACTTTTAGTTTTGCGTGAAGAGCTACTTTTACAACCATTTTGCTCAAAATGCAAAGCAAGGCTGAATCTTTTCCTTTTGTTGACAGAATTATATTCCAGGCAAACTGTTTAGGTCACAAAAATCGCATATTAAGCGCATAATTACTTCAAAGGCTAATTCTTTGTACCTCATGAACACAGCAGACAATTCAAATATGTGTCCATTCTCTGCACGGTGACATAACTCCTGACACAAATCCAAGCCCCGGCCATATCAGCTCAGATAGGCATTTTTACATGTATGCCACACGAATGCTTTTATACTGCTTCACATGCATGTCAAATGGAACTGCTTTCATTCATGCAGTGAGTTTGATTAGTGATTTTAGCAACATAATTACCCACCGAACAGTTCAGGAAATCACAGGAACAGGTGGGAACCCTATCTGATAATGGCATTGATGGCACAGCTCTATGCTGGTTCAAGTCTGATCTGTCGTCCTGTCACCAGCATGTACTGATGAGGATCATTACTCTAATCCAGCTCATCTATTTTGTGGTGTCCCACAAGGACCGATCTTAGGTCCGGTCTTGTTCAGTCTTTACATCAAAGATCTTGGGAAAATCATGGAAGCCCACTATGTTGATCGCCATCACTTTGCTGATGATTCCTAGAATGTACAAAGTCTTCTTACCCACTATGGATCAAGCAACTACCGCCTTGAACGACCTACAACAGTGCTGTGAGGAAACCAAGAGCTGGATGTTTGACTACATGCTGAAATTGAACAGCTCAAAGACAGAGTGCATTCTACTGGGTCCTGCAAAACGTTGCTCACAGTGCTCATTTAATGCTCTTGATTTTGATGGAGAAAGTATTCCATTCTCACAGAAAGTAAGAGATCTTGGTGTCATCCTTGACTCCGACCTCTCTTTGGATGATCACATACCACATCTCTCTAGGATCTGTTTTGCAGCTCTACGCAATATCAGTTCCATTAGGCAATACCTGACAATAGATTCGGCAAAAACTCTCACCTTATGCCATGTAATGACCTGCCTGGACTGTTGTAACTCTCTCCTAGCCGTTGCAAACAAATCACAAATCCAGAGACTTCAACGAATCCAAAATGCTGCGGCATGTGTCGTGACTAGATCGAAGAAGTTTGACCACAACTCTCCCATTCTTCAATCTCTTCATTGGCTTCCAATCGAGAACCGAATCCGCTTTAAACTCCTCTGCCTCACCTACCGCTGCCTGTCTGGATGTGCTCCTGCTTATCTCTCCAATCTTCTTATGCCATACAAACCAGCTAGATCCCTTCGTTCTCAGGACAAAAACCTTCTGCTTGTTCCTGTAGCAAACAGTGTTCGCTACTGCAGCAGATCATTCGCCTACGCAGCTTCAACAGCCTGGAATGATCTTCCCTCTCTCCGGAACACCAGTGACTTCTCTAGCTTCCGATCAAAACTGAAACTCACCCTTTTTCCTGATGTCTTTCCAACTTTGCTGAACTCTGAGCATATTTCAGTATGGATATATGCACGTTAGAAATGCCCTAGTATTTATATTATTATTATAATGTACATAGTATGAAGATGAAGGCGAAAGTGGAACATAAATGCATACAAGCCATGTGCTATGACTGAAGGATCGAGGCTGTACTAAAAGACTTTGCAATCACACATTTGGTTTTAGGAATCTTTGTGCCGGAGGATTTTGTTAGTTGATGCACTGCTTGTACTCTTTTTTCAAATGGTGCAGTGTGTGTACCAGGAGAGGTCATCAGTGGCGGTATATACGTAGCACTGGTGTAAGTTTGTTTCTATTCACAGGCCAAGGTTTATCATTTGAGCTTTGTATCATATGTCAGGAAACCAGTCAGTCTAAAAATACCCTCTACAACCAGACAAAACTGGGCATCTAATCCATTCTTGAGGCCACCCAGTTGAGGCACAAATTGAAACATTGCAAAGTTCGGTCATCTGTAGACAGGCTTTCGTTCCTCTTGGAGAATCTCCTGACGGCAACCCTAACCTAAAATGGCATTAGGGAAAAATAAATGTAAGGCTTGCCAAGGAACAGTCCAATGGTTCACAAGGAAATGAACAGACTGGTGTTTCAGATGAAGGATACCGCTTTTTACGCAGGGGCTCCGAGCCGACCAGTCCTTGTTGTACCCATTAATGCCGAGCGCCAGGCAGGGACCAACAAGTACCATATTTTAACGTCTTTTTGGTATGACGCGGTCGGGGATCGAACCCGCGACCTTCCGCTCTCCGGGCGGACGCTCTAACCACTACACCACAGACGGTCGGAAACGTTGGATTGATTGACTGATGATGATGCTGATGATGATGCTGATGATGATGATGATGATGTAACAACAACATGGTTCGTCCACCGGACGTTGTCATAAACTTTGTTCAAGAATAGACTAGTCAAATTTCTCAGAAATGTGAATGCATGAGGCATTTTTGAGTAAAAGCAAGCAAACAACATTTTCTGGGGTAGTTTTTCGTGCAAAAATGCCTAATTAGGTCACAAATTGGGTTCAAAGGTCAATGAGTGCAAAATTCAAATTTTTTAAAAAGTGTTTTATTTATCATTCTCCATCCATACAATGAACTCAGTTTAGAATATATTGATTAATAATGGTACCTCAGGATTTCAAAATGTTGGATTTCATGGAAATGCTGAAGGAAAAATTTCGTATTTTTGCAAATATCTCCCTTATGGAGCGACTTTTAGTATTTGCGTGAAGAGCTACTTTTTACAACCATTTTTGCTCAAAATGCAAAGCAAGGCTGAATCTTTTCCTTTTGTTGACAGAATTATATTCCAGGCAAACTGTTTAGGTCACAAAAATCGCATATTAAGTGCATAATTACTTCAAAGGCTAATTCTTTGTACCTCATGAACACAGCAGACAATTCAAACATGTGTCCATTCTCTGCACGGTGACATAACTCCTGACACAACCAAGCCCCGGCCATATCAGCTCATTTGCTGTCAGTTTCTGCTCTTTTGGCATCCCACAGAAATTAACTTAGATGTGATAGCATGATTCGGCTGCTATTAAATCAATCACGTCTATAATATGTTCAAAGACCTTGTGTTCATTTGTGCACACTTTAGAATGTATTATTATGGTAGAAACATGGCTCGTCTTCTGCTTGCTTTCAGAGCTGTGACAGAAAATACACAACGTCAAGTTCACTGTTGAAGTACCCCTGCGTGAAAAGCGGTATCCTTCATCTGAAACACCAGTCTGTTCATTTCCTTGTGAAGCATTGGACTGTTCCTTGGCAAGCCTTACATTTATTTTTCCCTAATGTGTGTATGCTGAATAACAGAGTTTGTGCCATTTTAGGTTAGGGTTGCCGTCAGGAGATTCTTCAAAGAGGAACGAAAGCCTGTCTACAGATGACCGGTCGGCTCGGAGTCAGTATACTGTGTCTGAGTGGGGTATTCATGCTTCACTGCGGCATGGTATCTCAGTGGGCTAGCACTATAAAACCAGCTTAAGTCTGGGCTAGTACAAGCAGCCGCACATACACATACACATGCATGCACGTCGTCATATGAGCGAAATATTCTCAAGCACGACGTAAAACCCAATTTCACCTCACCTCACCTTCAACGTTTCCAGATACGAAGACAGACGCATCGTTCTGAAACAGGGGCATCCTCCCTCCGCCTTCTACTTCATCCTCACGGGCGCCCTCATCGTCAACATCGAGGATATCAACCCCAACAACGGCAAGAAGTTCACCAGGACCGTCTCAGAACTGACGGCAGGGGACTGTTTTGGGGTAAATACCCGTGTTTTAGTTTACGTCTGGGGGGGAATTCGGTTAGAATACACCCCAAGTACTAAAATTTATCGTAAGAGCCGAGTTAAATCGATTTGGGTGGTTAGGCTCTGAGACTGATTGCTAGGAGACATGATACGTGGATTGTTGCTCATGGTATCAACCACTGGTTTTCCTTTCTCGAATTCCACTGATTACAGTCCACCATGAGATAACTGAAATGTTGCTGACTGGTTCGATACCCGGCCGTGTCACACCGAACGACGTTAAGCTATGGTACTTGATGTTGCCCCGCCTAGCGGCTAAAGCAGATAAGATAAGACTAGTGGGGGCATAGTAGGTATGCTGTGCCATTCAGTTGGCTACTACTACGTTAAAACACCATTTCGCCTTTCCTTACATCCTGTCTGTTCTCCTACCCGTCTAAGCTCCTTGGTGGTGGTGAGGTAGTCAAGTGGTTAAGGCGTTCGCTCGTCACGCTGGAGACCTGGGTTCGATTCCTCTCATGGGTACAATATATGAAGCCCATTTCTGGTGCCCCCACCGTGATATTGCTGGAATATTGCTAAAAGCGGTGTAAAACTGAACTCACTCACTCTAAATTCCTTGACTTGCAGGAACTGGCTCTGTTGGAGAGAAGCACTCGCACAGCTACAGTCATATGCAAGACCACCGTGGAATTGCTGGTCGTCCTCAAAGAGGTGGGATTACTGTCTGTAGGATAAAAAGTGATCGGGATATCGACATTATAGCTGATACGCTGTGAAATATCTAAAATAGGTTTTACAGTGGTGTAAAACTCACTCGCCTGTGTCCTATTTTGATGAGTCAATTATTATCATATCAATTTCAAGCAATGTTTGTTATTCTAACGAATTTAAAAGGAATTGAAATCGCATTTTGTCATTTCATTGCGTCGGATCGATACTTTCCAGAGCCCAGTGCGACATGGACGTTAACTATTAATACTTAAACTTATGATGACGAGGTATTAGCCGAGATGACGAGGTGCAATAGATCGGTAGTTCGATTAATTGTTAAATAAATACATTGATATACATTGATTAGTTAAGAACAACATTTTTGTAAACTATTTTCACTAAAGAAACAAATTATTTAGATTTGTATGAATAATTAATGTATACATGTATTAAGTACATACGAATAACAAATTATGTACATCCTTCATATAATCTAAATTAGATTATGTACAAAACCTCTGACATCTTGGTATAAATTACATAAATCTGGAGTTAAAATTTATCTAGATTTGGATGATCAAATCAGGACATTTTCTCCTATTAGTGTAAAATATCTACCAATAGAATTTGGCATTCATTTTTCATATTTAACGTAAATTAGATTGCGTACACAACTTTTGAATGTTGGCATATTGTTTTACACCGATTAAATAAGTTGGTTACCGACGCTGCTTTTGTTAGATGCCTAGTTTTTATATCAGAATCTTACGCCTTACCCGATTCTTCGTCAGATACTTTATTGTAGGAATACAGACCAACCTCGTCTGGTCATGCAAAAGCCGAAAACTATTACGGCCAGCATTTAATAATAAATGACGATTCTATCATCTGCAATTCAATATCACTTGGACATGAGCAGTTTTAAACGGGAAATATATTAAATCGGAGTGATGTTGCAATGATTCGTAAATGATAGGTTGTTTTGATACATTTCAGGATTTCGACGTAATAATCCGTCAACCTTTAATTCGTCAGCGGCTCAGTCATATACGGTTTTGTCAGTAAGTATACCTCGAATACAGCAAGTTCGGTACTTATCAAAGTTGCATGGTTATCACGGAAGAGAAAAGAACCCACTTCAAGAGTACATGCAGTTTCACAGTTTGTCATACAGACCCTGAAACAAATACTTCCATGAAAGCCCATGCAAGTCTAGAATATGTGGCAAGTCTGAAAATGAAGAAAGTCTCAGGGCTCTTTTTCATGATATTTTATTATTTTAATTTAGGAACCGTTTTTATTCTGTAAAATATGTTAATTTCAGAGACTAGATGTTAGTCTAGCATTTTAATTACTCGTTATATGTTATATAACTAGAGTGATATAACTAAAGTGATATAACTCATGTTACCTAACTCCAAGAACCCGTGAACGTCCGGGTTAGAATGAACCTTCAGTAACCCATGCTTGTCGTAAGAGGCGACTACCGGCATCGGTTCCCAATTGCGCAGATCGATGCTCATGCTGTTGATCACTGGATTGTCTGGTCCAAACTCGATTATTTACAGACCGCCGCCATATAGCTGGAATATTGCTGAATGCGGCGTAAAACTAAACTCACTCCTCCTAACTCCAAGCCTCGTTTTCAAACAAGAAATCGTAAAATGTGAAAAAAAGCTTAGAACAAGTGAAGAAAACATCTTGGACTGAGTGCTTCATGACCAACTATGATGTAATATGTTTTTTGGTTTAATTTAGTTAATCATGCATTGACACCTACGACATACACAAACTTTTTTCAGATCCCTTGTTTTGTTTGAAGACTTCCCATGCGGCGTGTTTGCGAGTGCGCCGGATGATTTCTTTTACCAGTACATCCCGTGAGTGTCATACATAAGTGTATCTCACATTTGCAGGGCCCATATGCAGAAAGGAATTGTAGTACGATCATGTTAAATAATGGGAGTAAAAAGTGTTGTTTAGTACATGTGAGCCAAGGTCCGAGCACATAAAGTGTTTTAGTACATGTGAGCCAAAGGTCCGAGAGTACATAAAGTGTTGTTTAGTACATGTGAGCCAAGGTCCGAGCACATAAAAGAGTGTTGTTTAGTACATGTGAGCCAAGGTCCGAGCACATAAAGTGTTGTTTAGTACATGTGCTCAGCCAAGGTCCGAGCAAATAAAGTGTTGTTTAGTACATGTGAGGCCATGGTCCGAGCACGCAAAGTGTTCTTGGCACTAAAATATGATCCGACAGTCGTAGCTTAAAACACTTTGTCGAAAAGGTACGTAACAGCACAAAAGGGTTTCGAATCACTGTTGGGACAATAACTTTACAATTGTATATTGTTTTATATGTTATGATAAACGTATATTCACCGTTCACTCATTACATAACATACGCACTTACATACTTGTAATGAGTGCAGCGGTAGATTTTTCTAAAATATTCATTTCTTCACCGATTTCGTTCAAATTTGAAATATATGTTAATCATAACATATAAAAAACAATATGCGATTGCAAAAGTTTAGTTTATTTATTTAAAAAAAATTATTGTCCAAACAGTGATTCGAACCCTTGTGCGTATTTACGTCATCCACGTGGGCTTATCATCGTACAAAGGAAAACGTAAAATCCGTCAAATCAAGCCTCGTAGCCCGATCTTTTCCGACCTGAACTAATCATAAAAGAATGATAAATAATATAATGGCACTAAATCCATTTCACGTACATTTCTGTACATCAAGTTAAAATAATGAAAGCTATTTTCATCACGTGCATGTTTCAGAGACGATTCAATTGTGGTGAAAGATAGCCGTGAATGCCGATATCTGATCGTTGTTAAATCAGTAAGTATATAATCAACGTTCACTGTTTCAACTGTTACAAATCAAGTTAAGGTCATCTTGGAATACAATACACATTGTACATTTCACTGAAGTCTTAAATACACATTGTACATTTCACTGAAGTCTGAAATACACATTGTAAATTTCACTGAAGTCAGGATCACAGCATTGTAGCCATCGAAGACATTATAAATTTCACTGGTCTGAAACACACATTGTGAATTTCACTGAAGTCAGAAACACACATTGTAGATTTCACTGAAGTCTGAAACACACATTGTAGATTTCACTGAAGTCAGAAACACACATTGTAGATTTCATTGAAGTCTGAAACACACATTGTAGATTTCACTGAAGTCTGAAACACACATTGTGAATTTCACTGAAGTCAGAAACACACATTGTACAGATCACTGAAGTCTGAAACACACATTGTAAATTTCACTGAAGTCTGAAACACACATTGTAAATTTCACTGAAGTCTGAAACACACATTGTAAATTTCACTGAAGTCTGAAACACACATTGTAAATTTCACTGAAGTCTGAAACACACATTGTAAATTTCACTGAAGTCTGAAACACACATTGTAAATTTCACTGAAGTCAGAAACACACATTGTGAATTTCACTGAAGTCTGAAACACACATTGTAAATTTTACTGAAGTCTGAAACACACATTGTAAATTTCACTGAAGTCTGAAACACATATTGTAGATTTCATTGAAGTCTGAAACACACATTGTGAATTTCACTGAAGATAGAAACACACATTGTACAGATCACTTAAGTCTGGAAACACACATTGTGAATTTCACTGAAGTCTGAAACACACATTGTGAATTTCACTGGAAGTCTGAAACACACATTGTAAATTTCACTGTAGTCTAAGTCAGAAACACACATTGTAAATTTTACTGAAGTATGAAAAACTTACTTTGTAAATTTCACTGAAATCTGGAAACATTTGTAGATTTCATTAAAGTCAGAAACACATTGTAAAAATTCACTGAATTTCTGGAAACACACACATTGTAAAATTCACTGAAGTCTGGAACACACACTGTAAACTTCACTGAACGCTGAACGAGAGCAAGTGCTGCAGCCTGACTGGATATGATATGTTTCCAGGGCAAGTGTTCTCTCGTGGCACCCTACAAAGAATCGAGCCAGCGTAAGGAGAAACCGCTGAAGATAAGGGAGGACTTGGAGAGAGCGTTTCCTTACTACGCGGAGAAGCGCAAAATGAACAGCAGACCAAGTACGATGGACGTTTAAACACTCTTTGACTTAGTGGCTTAGTGGTTAAAGCGTTCGCTCGTCACGCCTAAGACCCGGGTTCGATTACCACAATGGTACAATATGTGTAGCCAGTTTGTGCTGTCCCCCGCATTGATATTGCTGGAATATTGGTAAAAGCGGCGTAAAACCCACTCTCACTCGCTCACTAGCTCTCCTAATCGAACGAACTCGACACAACGAGTGGGCCGGTTAAAGCGCCAGGCAAGTGATCAGCGAGGTTGAGGTGTCGGGATCGAAACCCACTTAGTGACCGGGTGTAAAACCTTGGAGTCAACATTGTGTGCAGACACTTTCCGTGTTGTCACAACCCCTAGTGTACAGTACACAACCCTGTGCACTTAAAAGAACCCACGAATCTGTTGGTATCTGACCAGATGGTGGCCACATGCATACGTGCAAACACCTAGTTGCGAGTACAGCAACGTGCAGTGAACTTGGACAAAGTGCTGTGACTATGTGTGTCCCAGTCCACCTAGCTGTGAGTGGGTACCTCGTAAGAATGGGAAAAGTGGCTGCGAGAGTTGTATACTCCACATGGAGTAGAGATTGATAGTAAGATGTGCCGTTGAGATTGACATTCAATGATCGGGGGAAAAAATACCAGCGCCTTGAGCAAGCACTAGTTTCGTGGATATGTGCGCTATATAAATATCCTATAATAATCTATCTGTTATCCCATTTTACGAAAATCGTGCGACAGTATTTAAGCTCTGCTGTGAGATAGTAATTAGAAGATTGTGCAGTATTTTCAAAAGGGCTCCAATAGACGCGCGATAGCTCTGACGTTCGTTCGGAACGTACAGGTAACATATATTCTGACCTCAGGAATAGGTAAGTTACAACAGATGACAAAGCGTGACGGGTAGGTTGTGATTGCAGAAACGGGGTTAGCTCTGGAGAGGACAGCAAGTGACTTCCGGGACTCGCTGGAGGTGGGTCTGCTGACGGGAGTGGTGGACAAAAAACAGCTGGTGGAACGTGGGGTGGAGCATCAGAGAGGCCAGGTGGGTAGAAGGTGGGGAGGTTGGCAGGTGTGGTGGACAAGAGGCAGTTGGTGGAACGTGGGGTGGGCATCAGAGGGGCCAGGTGGGTAGAAGGTGGGGGAGGTTGGCAGGTGTGGTGGTGGTGGAACGTGGGGTGGGCGTCAGGGCCGGGTGGTAGCAAAGAGGCAGATGCGGTTGGTGGAACGTGGGGTGGAGCATCAGAGAGGCCAGGTGGGTAGAAGGTGGGGAGGTTGGCAGGTGTGGTGGACAAGAGGCAGTTGGTGGAACGTGGGGTGGAGCATCAGAGAGCCAGGTGGGTAGAAGGTGGGGAGGTTGGCAGGTGTGGTGGACCCAAGAGGCAGTTGGGGTGGAACGTGGGGTGGATCATCAGAGGCCAGGTGGGTGCAGAAGGTGGGGAGGTTGGCAGGTGTGGTGGACAAGAGACAGTTGGTGGAACACCAGTGGGGTGGATCATCAGAGAGGCCAGGTGGGTAGAAGTGTGGGGAGGTTGGCAGGTGCGGTGGACAAAGAGGCAGTTGGTGGAACGTGGGGTGGATCATCAGAGGCCAAGGTTGGCGTGCAGAAGGGTGGGTAGAGGTTGGGAGGTGTGTGTGGTGGACAAGGGCAGTTGGGAACGTGGGGTGGGCATCAGAGAGGCCAGGTGGGTGGGTGGGGGAGGCGTTGGCAGGTGCGGTGGACAAGAGACAGTTGGTGGAACGTGGGGTGGAGCATCAGAGATGCTTCAGGTGGGTAAGGGTGGAGGCCTGGCAGGTCATTAGAGACGGTTGGTGGAACGAAAGGGTGGATAACCGTGAGAGGCTTAGGTGGGTAGAAGGTGGGGGAGGCTTGGCAGGTGTGGTGGACAAGAGACAGTTGGTGGAACGTGGGGTGGAGGCATCAGAGGGCCAGGTGGGTAGAAGGTGGGGAGGTTGGCGGGTGTGGTGGGCAAAGAGAGCAGCTGGTGGAACGTGGGGTGGAGCATCAGAGAGGCCAGGTGGGTAGAAGGTGGGGGTTGGCAGGTTGGCAGACAAGAGACGGTTGGTGCGTGGGGTGGAAGAGACAGTTGGTGGAACGGTGGGGGAGGTTGGCGGATGGTTGGTGGAGCGTGGGATGAGAGGGCCAGGTGGGTAGAAGGTGGGGAGGTTGGCAGGTGTGGTGGACAGAGAGACAGATGCTGGTGGAACGTGGGGTGAAGCATCAGAGAGAGGCCAGGTGGGTAGAAGGTAGGGGAGGTTGGCGGCGTGTGGTGGACAAGAGACAGCTGGTGGAACGTGGGGTGGAAGCATCAGAGGGGCCAGGTGGAACGCAGAAGGTGCAGGGAGGAGGGTTGGCAGGTGTGGTGGACAAGAGACAGTTGGTGGTGGAACGTGGGGTGGGGCATCAGAGGAGGCCGGGTGGGTAGAGGTGCGGGGAGGTTTGGCGGGTGCGGTGGCTGGACGGGGCAGATGGTGGGTGCGTGGGGTGGAGCATCAGAGAGGCCAGGTGGGTAGAAAGGTGGGGGAGGTTGGCAGGTGTGGTGGACAAGAGACAGATGGTGGAACGTGGGGTGGATCATTCCAGAGAGGCCAGGTGGGTAGAAGGTTGGGAGGTTGACAGCAGTGGTGGACATGAGGAGGCAGTTGGTGGAACGTCGGGTGGCGGCATCAGAGAGGCCAGGTGGGTGCCAGAAGGTGGGGAGGGTTGGCAGGTGTGGTGGACAAGAGACAGTTGGTGGAACGTGGGTGGAGGCATCAGAGGCCAGGTGGGTAGAAGGTGGGGAGGAGTTGGCAGGTGTGGTGGACAAAGAGACAGATGGTGGAACGTGGGGTGGAGCAGCATCAAGAGGCCAGGTGGGTAGAAGGTCAACAGTCAGGTCAAGGTTTGGGAGGAGGGTACCGCGAGTGGAGCAGAGGGTGGGACGTGGTCAGGTGGATCGTGGTTTGGGGAAGTGGGCGTGGGTGGGTCAGGTTTGGGAAGTGGGGCAGCGCGGGTCAGGGTTTTGGGAGGAGAGGCAAAGAGGGCAGTAACGTGGTCAGCGTGGATCAGCGTTGCGTTTGGGTGCGCAGTTTGGGTATGCAGTGGTCAGGGTTTGGAAGCGGCAGGGCTTACCGTAAGGTGGGCTCAGCCCTGGGAGAGCAAAGTGTGAGGAGGCAGAGCATGAAAGTTGGGAGGTAGGTGAAATGAGTGAGCAGTGAAGTACTGGTTCTTTTTACGCTTTATAAAATATTCGAGCAATTACGCGGGGACAATTTGCGAGCCGGCTTCCGCCATTGCACCATGTGGAATCGAACCTGGTCTCTGCGTGATTATTAACGCTTTAACCACCAGGCTAACCCCATTCCAGGTAGATAAAGGTAAGTAGGAGAGGCAATGAGTGGGACGCTGGCTGGAACACAGCAGCCAGCACAGGAAACCACACATGGAGCGGAGGACCGCCCAGTAGATCGCAAGAGGGCTGGTTAGAAGAAGGTGGGTAAATGGTCGCCGGACTTCCGAACGCCAGCTGTGCCCAGTTCAGTTGGTTAGGGGTTCCGCCTGGCGGCCTGGAGTTGATAGGATATTTTTACTGCTTCTAAAACCGATGTTACTTCACCTATAGTGGGCGTTGGTAGCGCTCAGTGGTTAAAACGTTCGTTCGTCACCGAATACTGGGTTCGATTCCCCACAAGGGTACAGTGTTTACAACCCGATTTCTTGTGTACCCGCGCCGTGATATTTCTGGAATATTGATTAAAGCGGCGTAAAACCAAACTCACTCTCCACCTACAGCAATAGAATGTCAAAGTACAGCTAGCTCAAACACCAAAGGGAGACAGGGTATTAACACTGTGAGTTGTGTATTATTTCCTCTACAGGGCGGGAGGATGAAGACAGCACGTTCTGGGCGATAAGAGACTAGGGAGGGACCCTCCGTCCGCCAGATGATGAGCAAAAAGGAGAATAGGTAGGCCACTGATTCAACACTTCTCAACTGACCATCACCATAACATACCGACAGTTAATGTTGTTGATAAAGACTATTGGAAGCCCGGATGATACTGTATGCATATGAGATGACTATTGGGAAACAACTGTTGCGATAGTCTATTACAACTTATTGCGATAGCGATATAGTCTATTGCAACATACTAGTGCGTACTAGTGCAATAGTTTTTATTCCCCGCAACAACGTCCGTCCGTCTCTATGTGAGTAAGAATGCACCTTAAGAGCATCTGACCATAAAACGAACTTCGACCCCCTTTTCATGTCAAAGAAAGTTAAAAGATAGTTCTTGGTTTTGACCTGCTTGGCGCATGGCAATAAGGAGATGAGTGAAGGACTGGTCGGCACGGAGGCAGTTCACAGACACACACACGCACGCACGGACGCACGCACGTACGCACTCATGAGTGGGCGCACACATTTCATCATCGGTGCAGAATTCTTGAGGCAAACCGATGTTACTTCACCTATAATTGGGCGTTGGGGTAGCTCAGTGGTTAAAACGTTCGTTCGTCACACCGAATACCGGGTTCGATTCCCCACAAGGGTACAGTGTTTACAACCCATTTCTTGTGTACCCCGCCGTGATATTTCTGGAATATTGATTAAAGCGGCGTAAAACCAAACTCACTCTCTCCACCTACAGCAATAGGCTTGTCATGGTACAGCTAGCTCAAACCACAGGGAGACAGGGGGGTATTAACACTGTGAGTTGTGTATTATTTCCTCTCCAGGGCGGGGAGGATGAAGACAGCACGTTCTGGGCGATGAGACTGAGGGGACCCTCCGTCCGCCAGATGATGAGCAAAAGGAGAATCGGTAGGCAACTGATTCAACACCTCAACCAACCATCACCATAACAGGCTGACAGTTAATGTTGTTGATGAAGACTATTGGAGCTCCGGATGATACTGTGTACATAAGGGATGACTATTGAGGGGGAAGCAAATATTGCGATAGCGATAGTCTATTGCAACATACTATTGCGATAGTGTTTTTATTCCCCGCAACAACGTCCGTCCGTCCGTGCGTCCGTCACACTTTGTCCGAAGCATCCTAAACTATTCGTGATAGCTTTACCAAACTTGGTACACATGTCAACCGTGATCCCTAGATGTGCCTTTTGGGAGTTAGACCCAGATATGAATTTTATTTTTGCTTTCCATGGAAACGTGACTTAGGCTGTGGCTTGGTCTCAAAGCACATTTTGGGGTAGAAGTCTTAGCTGCCCAGATATGAATTTTTCTTTTTTGCGGTTTCCATGGAAACGTTCATTTAGAGCTGTGGCTATGAAGGCTATGAGGATCATCTTGTCCGGAGCAGATCTTCCAAACTATACATGCTAGCTTCATCAAACTTCGTTCGCATATCAAGCATGATCCCTAGATGTGCCTTTTCGGGGTTAGACCCAGATATGAATTTTATTTTTTGCGGTTTCCATGGAAACATGACTTAGGCTGTGACTATGAGGATGTCATCTTGTTGCATTTCCATGGCAACAAGTTAGGCTTCAACTGAATTTGGTGGTAGTGCTCCTTTCTGGAGCAGATCTTAAAACCTTTCAATACTCTCCTTCCACTTTGCTGTATACACTCCAAAACATATGACATAATCATAACTAGTAGACATATTCATAAAGAGTATTTTGCCGTTGCGGGGGATATTGATGACTTTGTCTTCTTGTTCTCCTTGATATATCTCATTTGAAGTTATTTCCCAAATGAATGTATAGTTTATATGCGATAACAACAAGTTGAAGTAGTTTCAGTCTCTTTTAATTACTGACAAGAAACTTGAAACCCAGATCAAGTAAACAGTTAAAACATAGACTCAATGAAGCTGCAAGTCTGCACCCAAACATCTTGTATTTTGCGCTGCGCATTTAGCAACAGAAGTCAATTACTAAACTATCGATAGTCACACATACCATCGATGCATCGATAGTTTTTCGTTTCTAGATCGATTAATTGCTATCGGAGACTCAACAATTGCAATCCATCGATAGTTCGATGCATCGTTACAGCCCTAGTATACATGACACTTTTCTGCAGACTATAGATTTCTGTGTTGGAATGGTTCTAAACAAATACATAAAATATATATGTTTTATATTTCCACTAGGAATATTATTTAACGCCCTTGTTGTTTAATGCCCGTTGTTTCTTGCAGGGTCCAAGTCGAACTACAGAGCAACGTCTGCCCAAAACGTAACTGTTACTGATTCTACCATATAAGATACACTGGTGCTTGATACTTTGTTCAAGACTTTCTTATTATTTTGACATTTGTGTTCATGATGCTTATAAACATACCCTCATTCATTTTGACAACCTCCATAACATGAATTCTGAGCGAAATTAAACATTCTCGCCCATGGGCCAATTGATATTTTTTCGCCCATGGGCGAGATTTTTGTCTGGTCCAGACTCGATCGACCTAAGTTAGTCGAATTAAGTCAAAAGGAGTTGAAATTTGTGTTACATGATGCTTTTTAGTAAACATACACTTATTCATTTACAACCTCCAAAACATGAATTCTGAGCAAAATTAAACATTCTCGCTCATGGGCTGGCCCATGGGCGATCGAGTTTAAATTTTAAATTTTCGAAAAAGCTTGTTGTAAGAGGCGACTAACGGGATCGGGTGGTCAGGCTCGCTGACTTGGTTGACACATGTCATCGTATCCCAATTGTTCGTAGATCGATGATCATGCTTTTGGTCAATGAATTGTCTGGTCAAGATTATTACAGACTGCCGCCATATATCTAGAATATTGCTGAGTGCGGTGTTAAACCAACAAACAAACAAACCAACAGAGTTCATGCTGGATGTTTCACTCTTAGATGAAGAAACTGGACTTTCTCCGAGAAAATACATCAGTGTCGTTCGCCCAAGTTGCGGAGCTCAAGCAGGGTGCTGTGTTTGTAAGTCGTCACCGCCCACTTGTATTTAATGACCCGTGAAGATCCGGGTTGGATTTGATCTTCGGCAACCCGTGCTTGTTGTAAGATGCGACTAACGGGATCGGGTGGTCAGACACGCTGACTTAGTTGACACATGTCATCGTATCCCCAATTCCGCAAATGGATGCTCATGCTGTTGATTATTCGATTGTCTGGTCCAGACTCGATTATTTACAGACCGCCGCCATATAGCTGGAATATTGCTGAGTGCGGCGTAAAACAACATCCAATCCAATCCAATCCAATACTTGTATATTGAATGTTTAAATGTGTCTGGTATTCACAAGATGTCGGTTAATAGCGCCAATTGTCTCGAAAAACAATCTTCATTTAATTATTTGTAAAGTTATTACAACAGTAATGTTTCAATTTTTGAATAATTACCTCGTCATTGCGGAATTCTAGTACTGGTTCACAAAACATGACCTCGGAATTCATAGCGGTTCACAAAACATACGTCATAGTAATACTAGTATTGATTCACAAAACATGACCTCGTTATAGTGGAATTCTAGTACAGGTTCACAAAACATGAGCTCGTCATTGCGGAATTCTAGTACTGGTTCACAATACATGACCTCGTCATAGCGGAATTCTAGTACTGGTTCACAAAACATGACCTCGTCATTGCGGAATTCTAGTACTGGTTCACAAAACATGACCTCGTCATTGCGGAATTCTAGTACTGGTTCACAATACATGACCTCGTCATTGCGGAATTCTAGTACTGGTTCACAAAACATGACCTCGTCATTGCGGAATTCTAGTACTGGTTCACAAAACATGACCTCGTTATAGTGGAATTCTAGTACTGGTTCACAAAACATGACCTCGTTATAGTGGAATTCTAGTACAGGTTCACAAAACATGACCTCGTCATTGCGGAATTCTAGTACTGGTTCACAAAACATGTCCTCGTTATTGCGGAATTCTAGTACTGGTTCACAATACATGACCTCGTTATAGTGAAATTCTAGTCCTTCTAGTACTTGTTCACTAAACAGCAACAGCTGGGTCCCGATTCACAAAGCATTCGTATCGCTACGACTTCGTAAGCTAATGGTAAACTTCTGAGTTCTACGACGTAACGTTACGAACGCTTTGTGGATCGGGACCCTTGATGATCAGACTAACGCGATCAGTATATGACGAAGAAGAACACGTTTTACGGATTGACAAGTTCTTTAATGCAATAGATGCCACCCATAGAACTTATTCTTCTTTGAAATCTTTATGAATAAATATACGAGGTCTATATTGTTGATGAAGCTTTGTCTATCATTCCGTAATGTACAACTGATTGTTAAAATTCCATTTTGTTTGACCCGGGTCCCGTTGTACAAAGCGCAGTTAGCGCTCAGGTGATCGTAACTCCCATACCTGAAGATGAGTTCACGACAATCACAGAGCTAAGGTTGCTTTGTATAACGGCACCCTGACCCCTGTCCCCAGGGCTTGGAGTCCTTGGTACACCGGCCCAACTCCTCACTCACCCTGGTCAGCCACGGAGCAGAGTGCCTCTTCGTCTCCAAGAAATTCTTCCTGCAGGAAGCCAACATCAAGACTCTCCGGGTTGTCAGTGATATGGTAAGTTATAACGTACCTCAGTGTGGATTCCCAGAATTGGTCCCCAGAAACCTCTGTCTGTCGCGGCTAATGGGGAGTAGGTGGTGTGGTTTTACGCCGCCTTTAGTAATATTCCAGCAATATTACGGCGGGGGGCACTAGAAATGGGCTTCACTTATTGTGCCCATGTGGGGAATCGAACCCGGGCCTTCGGCGTGACGTGCGAACGCTTTAACCACTAGGCTACCCACGCCCCAGAAAGGAAAGATATAGCGTTTCACATGGAGGAGACTAGCTCAGTTTAGAGAAACATTTTTGTTCAGGTAGACCGTGGTCTGATTCCTAATATAGGAAATATACCTTAAGTTTCGTCTAGTCATATCGATTGGGGATGCGTAAACTCAGTGATGAGAAAAAATAGTGTACTCCAATTCCAACATATTGCGCAATAATTTACGTTTATGCAAATTGCGTGTATTATGTCGCCATGTTTAATAAATGTTTATGTCCCACTGATTTGTCACAACATAGCTTTGGGGATGAGGAGAGTCTCAGATTGCAGTAAAATGGGTCTGTTTTGTCTTTCATAGGTGATGACTTACCCTTCACAGGTATTCATCCGCGAGCATGTCAAAGTTCACCGAGATTGGGTCAAGTACAAGCGCGGGCTAGTGAGCGAGGTGATTTCCAGATACGACGGCTCTTGACAACCTCCAGTATTCGTGACACTTTGATTCCAACTAAGCCCTTAAAACAGAATAGCTGCTTAATGTTATGGTTCCATTTCCAGTCTAGGTCTAGAACAGTAATTAGTGCTGTGTGTCAGACGTTGCTTCAGGCGTTGGATTCACTCTACGACCGTAGGTCATGCTTGACGTCATAGGTTACGTTGAAAGTCGCACGTCAAGGTTTTCTCTAAAATCGGACACCCTGGAACCGAATTTTGAATGGGATGCGTTCTGATAGTTGACGAAAGGTGATGCTCGTGAACACCCCTGCAATTTATATACACTTAAAAATTAAATTTGATATGGAAATTACAAACTTAATAAAAACGTGACAAGGTTGAAATTGTCGCAGAAACACTGCAAACTGAATGTCAAACATAACTATGATACCCACATAAAATACATCGCCATTGAGTAACTATTTCTCTCTTCTCTCATTTTAACTAATATCAAACGTAGTAACATATTTACACCACAGATTTGAAATTAAGGATTGTAGAATGAATCCAACCCTGAGGGACACTCTTGGTTAGATATACTACTCACTGGAAGTTAAAGAATATTCATTAATCTGTCTTGAGAGGTTATGAATACAGTCATAGACACTTGGGTGTTCTTTACGTTTTGTGTAGTATGTATTTGACTTTTGCATAGTTACGATCTGTGTTTGTTTACCCTAGTTCAGCGACCTCGATAGATTGTTAATTTCTTTTATGTGGGTTTAATTTGGATGCTTTTATAATGTATGGCCCAAAATTCAAATTTGGGTGATCGTAGAATATAATGGAAATTTTTAACATCAATGTTCGTACTGCAAATATTGTTTTTTACAATTCATGTTTATCTTAAAGATATAGCATCCTACTTTGATATCTCCAACATATTTTGAGATTCATATCTGATATAAACTAACCTACTCAGGTTGTGCAAATCCATGTATGTATGTATATATATATACTTGTGAAGGAGTAAATAGATCTGACAATTATATGTTCCTTTCTCAATACTTTGATTAGTTTTCTTCATTATAAGTATAATCAACTACTGAATTCTGAGCTGAGAGTAAATGGGAATCTATGGACAGAATAGGTTGTAGGTACTTCTTCCTTGTCAGATGTTATCGTGAAAGATGTTACCGTGATCTGGCTGGTCATGCGTCATCACGCCCTAATGTTTTACGCCGCACTCAGCAATTTTCCAGCTATATGGCGGCGGTCTGTAAATAGTCGAGTCTGGACCAGACAATCCAGTGATCAACAGCACGAGCACTGATCTACACAGTTGGGATACGATGACATGTGTCAACAAAGTCAGCGAGCCTGACCACCCGATCCCGTTAGTCGCCTCTTACGACAAGCATGGGTTACTGAAGATCAATTCTAACCCGGATCTTCACGGGTCAGTCAGTCATGTCAGTCACGTGTTTGCCCGGTCTAGTCTCAAGTATTTACATTCGACATTACTGAGCTGAAGTACTGGTGATTTTAGCGTTAAAATATTCACTCACAAGAAAGGTGAGTAAGAGACATTGCTTTAAGCAATATTCCAGAAACCTCACGGCGGGAGACTCCAGAAATGGGCTTCACACATTGTCCGCATGTTGGGAATCGAACCCGGGACTTCGGCGTGACGAGCGACCACTGGGCTACCCACCACCCCCAAATAAGAGAGATGAGACTAGTTGTTTGCCGTAGATTGTCCATAATATCACTAACAAAACTAGTCAAGATTTTTATCCCGTCCACTACCATGTGGAGCGGTGGGTAGCACGCATGTTAAAGCGTTCGTTCGTCACATCAAAGGCACGGGTTCGTTTCCCCATGTTGATAATATATACGTGAAACCTGATTATGGTGTCTCCCGTAGCGCCGTTACTAATCTGGTGCTTAAATCGGCATAAAACCCTACTCACTCACTCACGTGTTGTGTTATTTACACCATATGCCCAACAAACGAACACAATTATTCACCGTATTATTCCTGGTAAACAGTAGTTCCACCTCTGTCCAACTATCAGTAAGGCCGTCAAGACATAAAGTGGTTTAATTCAGTATAAAAAGCGACATATATGCCCAAAATATTTCAAAATACTATCTACATAATTTACAATATACACTCTCGGTCCTGACAGATCGTAACAACACGCTATCACAGACATGGTTTCTGACAAATCGAGATGGCGCTATCACAGATACTGAACAAGCATCACAGATACAAATCACTATCAATAAATATACATACATATTATCTCATGGTTGGTATTATCCTGACAAACAACAGTCATTCTGTCAGATTAAATAAATAAAACACATACATCATTATAACACAAGACTGGGATATTCCTGTATATTCGACGTAGGTCGAGGGAAGTTTGTGACGTACAAGCACTGCGTCTCTAGACCATCAAATAATAATGAACTTTGGAACTTTCTTCATCTGAAGTAATAGCTTGCTTGTGCAGGATGAAGCTGAACGCGCCGTCTCGACCTTATTAATTATTTAACATATGCTGGAGAATATGAAACGAATTTACCGTTGACATTTCAAGTTCAAGATGTGTTGTTTCATATTGTAGCTTGCTCTGACAATGATGTCCTGCGAATCCGATAGACTTGATTAAACACAACCGTTTCGGGCATGACCAACACCTGTGTATAAGATGTCCCTCCTCTCGTTGGATCTTCTCCCCTTCCCATCACACCTCACTTTCCAAAATGGCGGACCGGAAGTAAGAACCAGCACTGTCACTTGTCAAAATTAGAATCCGTAGCTTAACGAGCACTTTTCGTAGCCTTCAGTGCAGATTGAATGATTTTGTGTTCTGTTCTTTAAATGTACACCCATCCAGTAATTAAAACTGACCATGTTTTGTAATATTTTTAACATGATGTCTCACGCTGAATGTGACCACAGATAGTTTCCAGCGGTTAACATTTTGTGCGGAACTGGCGTTGGTCTGTTTAGTTCACGGAAATGTAGCTGGCTGAGGTAGTCATCTTTTTTTCATTGCTGCTTTAAGGTCAAACTATGCACACATGAACATGTAATTGCTGTGGATGGCTTAGTGAAAAAAATATATTTCTATGGAAGTCAACGGGAAAGTATTTGGTTTTGTGTAACCTATAACAGTTCATGCAACCCGGAAGCCCTGGTTACAGGTATTAGTGTTGAAGCCTCTCCAATATCTTGAGATCCTGTTTGAATTCCCATACATTCAAACACGACATAAGGTTATCGACGATTGCTGTCCAACACATTCAACACAGAAGTAAATGGAATACTGAACCATCCCTGCCATTGCACTTTGCCTAGATGTCCAGACGGGAAGGTATGCAACATTGTCACCATTCACTGCAACGTTTATGTTACGGGAACACAGAAGCCTGTCATTGTTGACAAAAATATTATGAGGTAATCATCCTTTGTAATTCACACACCATTCGTGACAAACGTGCAACAGGAATTTATGTCATGAAGTCCCCATCCTTTGTAATTGGTACACCATCCTTGACAAGCGTGCAGCGGGAGTTCAATGTATAGAGTCACAATCCCAGGTAACCCTCACATATCCATTCCCATGTCAAGTAAGGATGTATGTTATATAGTTATTAATAGGTGGCCACATGATCCACAGCTGTGTTCAGGGTCACCAGTCCATGTTTTGACTATGTCCGAGAGGTCACACTGCCGACCAGCCTCTCCATGAGAACACTCTTATACTGCCTCCATGTCTCCTTGTTATACAACACGTCTTTAGCCTCATCCGTGGTGATGTACTCGCGTTGCTGAAAGGTATGCGTTCGGTTACAGAATATTATCAAGTATTAAAAAACCTCTACCTATATATAAAACCAGATACATACTGACTGACTGACTGACTGAGTTTGGTTTTACGCCGCTTTGGCAATATATTATCATCAACAGGGAGATGGGCACGACTATTAAAACGCCGCTCAACAATACATCACGGCGGGGACACCAGAAATGGGCTTCACACATTGTGCCCATATAACCCGGGTCTTCGGCGTGACGAGCCATTAGGCTACCCCACCGCCCCCCAGACACATACGAAAATATATTTCGTGTTTACCCTTGTGTGTACTTTACACAAAAATAGGACATGTGTGACACGTTTCTGGACAATCCAGTGAAACGTCTCTTTCTAGATGGTTCGGGGTGGGGTAGCCCAGTGGTTAAAGCGTTCTCTTCACGCCGAAGACACGGGTTCGATTCCCCACATGGGTACAATATGTGAAGCGCATTTCTGGTGTCCCCCGTGATATTGCTGGAATATTGCTAAAAGCGGTGTAAAACCAAACTCACTCACTCTAGATGGTTCAATGTTAAGCATGACTGTCAAGCAGGGCCAGGTTTGAAAACTATTCTTTTCCGTAAAACCAGGAATTATTTCTTCTCTTTTTAAGACCATTTCCCCCCCTTAGCGGACCGTGCAACTCACCAACCACCCATCTCTGGCCCCATTCCACGACTGACTGACTGACACCGGTGCTCCTGCTTTGAGTGAGCGAGTGAGTTTGGTTTTACGCCGCTTTTAGCAATATTCCAGCAACATCACGGCGAGGGACACCAGAAATGGGCTTCACACATTGCACCCATGTGGGGATTCGAACCCGGGTCTTCGGCGTGACGAGCCAACGCTTTAACCACTAGGCTACCCCACCGTCCCCCATTCCAGGAAGCGACCCCAGCACTAAGATGTTAACACCAATAATTCAACATGTACCAACAACAGTCGTGGTTCTAAGATCGTTGTTGGCAGCTGGGTAAATGACACTCTATAATGACCACTTGGAAGGCCAATGGTGCAAGGGTTTGTTGGTTAGACGTACCTTCTGGGTACATGGATCAGAGTTCAATGTTTCCACGGTACAATGTACCTTCTATCATTAAAATATTGGTACATGTCGTGCAGATAATGTTTGATATTGCTTGCATAAACCAACTCACAAATGACAGAGTTGGTCTGATGTTTTGATTACGATAAACCAACTCACACCAACTCACACTATAGTGCCTACCTACCATTGTCTCCACTCTCAACATGGTGTTGTTCTGGGCGAACTGTAGGAAGAATCTCTTGCTGATCTTTATCACTTCGGCTCCGTCGCTCACCTGCGAAGATTTATACATGCCTCTACTGTGTTGTTTCCCGTTTTTGAGCATTACTTGATTTAACAATATAACACATTGAAATATCTCGATTATTTTACCGTATTTAACAAAACAAAATCCTAAACATGAACAAGATATAGTTTTACATTTATCAATAATATTCATTTAAAATTTTTGAATCCCACAGTGTGACATTCAGAACTACCCGGTTCGTTTGTAACTATCATCATGATTATGATTATTATTATTAAATTAAAATAAGACTTACTAGACTGATGGCCGGCCCCTCCATGAACGCCAAAGGGGGAGGGTCAAGGTTCTCTAGGCCCTGGGGGAGAGAAACATGGTTGCTTATACATCTATGTCATTGATGCTAAAATCTATCATGATGAATTTCCCTACCATATAACTTTTGTACTTATCATGTATGTAATTTTCGAAAAAATACAACTGTACCATTATCTATTTGACAACTGTAAAGTATATCTGCACGTCATACTAATTCGAAAACCGAGGCCGGGTAACAACAAGTACCATGTTTTAACGTCTTTTGGTATGACACTGCAAGGTCATCGAACCATCGACCTTCTTTACACTACAGTTGTACCAAGCATGGTCATAATTTACAATCCTATATTGTGCCGGCAACTTACAGACAACAATACCCGTCCGGGTTAGAATGAACCTTCAGTAACCCATGCTTGTCGTAAGAAGCGACAAACGGGATCGGGTGGTCAGGCTTGCTTGACTTGGTTGACACATGTCATCGGTTCCCAATTGCGCAGATCGATGCTCATGCTGTTGATCACTGGATTGTCTGGTCCAGACTTGATTATTTACAGACCGCCGCCATATAGCTGGAAAATTGCTGAGTGCGGCGTAAAACTAAACTCACTCACCTACTACAGACAACAAAATGTTGCAGTGGGAATCCATCTCCTTGACCTGATTTACAGATTCTGCAGGACATATTGTGCATAATATGACATGAACAAATATGACAGCCTGTTCGAATTTGGGGTCGAGAAAGGTCAGTGCACCCAAACACCAACACCATTTCGATGATCTGCCAACTCAAACCGTATTACGAATACTGAGGTGCGGTCCGGTTCAAAACGACCTGTCCGTGGTTTAACTGCTCGCCAGAAAGTGCCCGTATGTTGTCATCAGGCTGAATTGATTGAAGTGAGGAACACGCGTAAATGCAACTCGTCCTCAGATTAAGGAAACTTAGATTAGTTGCTTCGTTGCAATTGTTTGTTGGTCATAATTACTCAAATATCAATTTAACAGATTATTATTAGTATGATACTACATAACGGCACTGTCCTATGACAGGAGTTACAACTTCTAGTCATATAGCGTGAAACCTTACCAAACCGGACTCCCACCTTCGGGGCAATTACTGCTGTATACAATTACAGGGTCCCGATCCTCAAAGTGTTATCGCTGGTTTACGAATATCGTGGTTCAACAAACACTCTCTGGGCCAGGCCCCTGAGTACAAAGAGCCAATACTTAGAAAAGAAAGCATGATATTATTATCCGTAAATTTGTATCCGGATTGACAGGGTTTCACTATATGTGACTGGACTTATGTAACACGTGTGAGACAGTGTTTCTATGTCATTCGACTAAAAGTGGTTATAAGTTCGTGGAGTACAATCGCTCTCCAACACCCTACAGTCAGAGAGCACTGTGTGTTCATAATGTATTGTGTTATCTCAGAGCGTCCGTGAAGTAGCTTAGGCTAGTTGTGACGATTACGTACAAATGATAGCCGCTAACAAGCAAGAATTTGCCGATCAAGCATGCAGTTAATGGTGATTATATAGAAGCAGAATCATGATTGTGTGACAAGTGAGATGTTTAGAACAGTACAATTATGTCACCGTTATATCGGTTATTTTAAGACGATGTCAACCCCAATTCAAAATACACAGGATTGGGCGAACAGAAGCGAGTCGTAGTCAGTTAACAAAATAAATGAAATAGATAGATATTTAGAAAGCAGAGAGGGAGAGAGAGTAAAAGAGAGAGAAATAGATAGATATTTAGAAACCAGAGAGAGAGAGAGAAAGAAATAGATAGATATTTAAAAAGCAGAGAGAGAGAGAGAGAGATTATTCAGAAAGGGAAAACTCTATGCTAACTTGCTAATACTATGCCGCACGTTCTTAAGAGACGCTGGGATATGTGCATGTGATATTTCAGTTTTTAATTATATTTCCACTGATCAAATTTGACCTCTACCGGATGATCGTGTGTTTACATTTTTTTGAAATTTCAGTTATTTCATTTTCTTGTCGATAGGCTTTTGATTTCAGGCGGAAATAAAATGCATGCAACATCTCTACCTCAGCGTCACCGAAAAATACACGGCGTTTCCCATAACCATATGACGTCATAGCTAGATGACGTCATACAAACCTCATCATCCTTGGGTTGATACCTGAACTTTACAGCGATTTCGTCCAAACCCTAAAGTTAGGTATAAATGTCACAACAAGTTAGGAACAAAAGCAAAAACACAAACTGCAAATAAAAACAGTTAACAACACTCTTTACAAAACAAGGGTATAAATATTATTAGGGATTAACATTGTACACAACAGACTTTAGGTGGGCGTGGGTTGTTGAACTGAATTCAGCTTTAACTACTCGCGGGGTATATTTGAATCCAAATTTCGCATTGTTTTTGGTAATAAATATCTATCATTTTTGAAAAATGAGTCTGAAGGATAGTATGTTTGGTACATATTGAAGACATCCAAACAATGCTTTAAAATGGTTAGCTCAACACACGTTGTTAATTCAAACTATTATGTCAAGCAAATTCACATGCAATTTGTGCCTTTATCTGAAAAATGTTTTTTGACAAATATACGGTTTTTTGAAATCCTAGAAATAACACCTAACATATACAACATTAGTGAAGAAATAACCAGGATAAAAAACAACAAAACAAACCAAACAATACAAAAAACATTGATTAAAACTGAAATTATTAACAAAATATAATTTATCAATGCTCCTTGGGTCTTTCTAAAAGGAGCAAAATGGGACATCTTGTCTTTTTATAATTGACCTTAAACTCAGATAAAACAAAGAAATTTAGCAATAATGTTAATAAACAACAGCAAACATGGCGTTAGCTTCCCCTCCCCATCACTTACAAACACGTCCCCCGGGCTGAGGGTGTCAAGCTGAAGGTAGGCCCTCCTCTGAATCAGATCTTTCTTTTTCCTGGGGAGAGGACAGCATCAAATTCTGTCTTCTCTCTGGTGAGGAACGTCCCGTGGGGAGTCATATGATCTGCCACCCCCGGGGTGGATTTAGCTAGGGAAGCACTGCCCCGGGGATTCTTTCCTGGTTGCCTGGGGGTGGGTTGGGTGACGACTATTGGAGGAAGCTGGAAGTGGTTTTTGCTCTTCTGAAAACGTAGATGTGTTATACAGGTTATATGGTTGATAGAGTACATAGATGTATAACTTGTCGGGCTAAACAATGTATATACAATGGATTTAACTAGAAATGGTCACGTCAAAACGTTACTAAGCTGAAAACAGTCGCCCAAACACGGCAAACCTTAGGTTCAAAATATGAATGCACATGTATGTCCAAAAAACAAATGCATCACAATCGAAAAAATATTTCTTGCTTCTCTTGTTTGCATCATCTTTAGCCATAATCACATTTTTCAGGAATTTCTTCTGCCCGGCAGTTTATGTAAACGAGGAGGGATGAATGAGATTTAAATTTTGATTAACGCCCTCTGTTCACTAGACCACACAGTTTCTTCTGTGCAACTGGATTTTCATCAACATTTCGCAAAACTATTCAACGACGCACATTTTTTCCAGCTACATGACCTCAGTCTGAACCAGACAATCCAGTGACTGACATAGTATCGATCAACGTAGTTGGATATGCATCACGTAAATCGGCGAGCTTGAGCACCCGATCCCTAGAGCTACCTCTAACGACATGATGAAGACCAATTCTTGCCCGGATCTTCACGGTTCAAAGAAAATAAGAATAAACAATGAAGGTGTTACGAATATTGAACAGCTTCAGCAGAAAATAGAATATTATCCGTAGTTGTGTGTACACATTATAAACTGATATAATCCTGCATATATTGGAATGAATAGACCCGTGAAGATCCGGGTTAGAATTGATCTTCAGCAACCCATGGTTGTCGTAAGAAGCAACGAACGATCGGGTGGTTTATTTACACATGTCAGCGCATCCCCGTATGTTCAAGCTGTTGATCACTGGATTGTCTGGCCCTGACTCGACTATTTAAAGACTGCCGTCATATACATGTAGCTGTAATATAGTGTGGCGTTAAACAACAACCAAACCAATATATTGGAATACCTACCTTTTCTGGTGAGTCTGTGGGAGAGGATCCCTCAGACCGTTGTTCTCCCGGAGTGGTTGACACGGGGGTGGAGACAGGGCTGGACCCAGGGTCGGGGCCTGGGGTGGGGCTTGCTGTCACATTCTCAGGTTCTATCGGAGGAACCTCTGTAGTAATAGCAACAATACAGTCATGCCATTATTGTCACTTCTGAAGAAATCAATAAATATCTTCAGTGTCTGCATCTTAGAGAGAAGACCAACCTGGATCGGTCAGCGCTTCATCATCATTATCCTGTCTCACAGTCCCTAAACCACATTATTTTCCCTACTGCTTAGCCCTCCCTGCAATGCTAAAGGCCCAAATTAAGCAAGTCAAGATTTCCTCACGTTAAGGAATCTCCCATCTCACTGGGGCTCCTTTTCAATTTAAAATGGTTTATCTGTTATTATCAAAATTACATATATATATTCAGAGACTAAGCGATCATCATCATCACCGATTCATTCTATTTGCATATAGTGTTTTCGATTCCTATTCCTATTAAAACATCCAATACACAGTCAATCCTCAGCTGTACCTTTCTCTATAAAAGTGGTCGATTTTGCTTTCTTTCGACTGTGCGATCGGTCTGTCAGGGACCCAGCTGATAGACGTCCATTTAACTTTCGTCTCTTCATCAACTAAAAAATGAAAGATGGGTGAATTAATACATTTCTGAAACGTAACTTTATTCAAATTCAGTATTCTCCTGATAGTGACATGCAGTGTCACGGAATATTGAAGTAAGTCCTGATAGTGACGTATCTGCCTTCTAGCAGGTAATGGGGCTCCATAGCCCACGGTGAGCGTACGCGGGGTTTTCCGCAGCTTTTAGCAATATTCCAGCAATACCACGACAAGGGACACCAGAAAGAGGTGGCCACATGACATCGAACGCTTTCACCATTGCGCTAAAGCCACGTACTGCACAGATTTGCTCCCGTAGCCAAGCCAGGGTCAGCTGGTAGCTGGTTCGAACTCCATCTCCATCCTTAAGATACTAGGTCTGTCAGTGCCAAAACCGTGTTCGTTGGTTTCACCAAAGTGATAAACATCTATTACAGCAGGAATCCTTCAATATAAGGGGCGGTGGGGTAGCCTAGTGGTTAAAGAGTTCGCTCGTCACTTAGAAGACCCGGGTTCGATTCCCACAGGAGTACAATGTGTGAAGTCCATTTCTGGTGTCCCCCGTCGTGATATTGCTGGATTATTGCTGAAAGCGGCGTAAAACCATACTCACTCACTCACTCTTGATATAAAACTGACACAGTTGTGATATAATGACAACTGGCGTAAAACAACCCTCACTCACACATATTGCCTGACATCAAGGCTTGACTATGTACAGACTACAGGTATATGACTGAGAGATGACGTTCTGACGTAAAACAACCCTCACTCACTCATATTGCCTGACATCAAGGCTTGACTATGTACAGACTACAGGTATATGACTGAGAGATGACGTACTGGCGTAAAACAACCCTTACTCACTCATATTGCCTGACATCAAGGCTTGACTATGTACAGACTACAGATATATGACTGAGATGACGTTCTGACGTAAAACAACCCTCACTCACTCATATTGCCTGACATCAAGGCTTGACTATGTACAGACTACAGGTATATGACTGAGAGATGACGTTCTGACGTAAAACAACCCTCACTCACTCATATTGCCTGACATCAAGGCTTGACTATGTACAGACTACAGGTATATGACTGAGAGATGACGTTCTGACGTAAAACAACCCTCACTCACACATATTGCCTGACATCAAGGCTTGACTATGTACAGCCTACGGGTATATGACTGAGAGATGACGTTCTGACGTAAAACAACCCTCACTCACTCATATTGCCTGACATCAAGGCTTGACTATGTACAGACTACGGGTATATGACTGAGAGATGACGTTCTGACGTAAAACAACCCTCACTCACTCATATTGCCTGACATCAGGGCTTGACTATGTACAGATCAGGTATAGACTGAGACTGACGTTCTGACGTAAAACAACCCTCACTCACTCATATTGGACTATACAGACTACAGGTTATGGCTGAGAGATGACGTTCTGACGTAAAACAACCCTCACTCACTCATATTGCCTGACATCAGGACTGGACTATGTACACACTACAGGTATAGACTGAGAGATGACATACTGGCGTAAAACAACCCTCACTCACTCATATTGCCTGACATCTGGACTGGACTATGTACACACTACAGGTATAGACTGAAAGATGACGTTCTGACGTAAAACAGCCTCACTCACTCATATTGCCTGACATCTGGACTGGACTATGTACACACTACAGGTAAAGACTGAGAGATGACGTTCTGACGTAAAACAGCCTCACTCACAAACATTGCCTGACATCACGGCTTGACTATGTACAGACTACAGGTATAGACTGAGAGATGACCATCTGACGTAAAACAGCCTCACTCACTCACATTGCCTACCATCTCACCTCGGGTAGATTGATATCAGTGTGACCCCTCAGTTTCCGCTGTTTAGCAAGTAGTCCAAGCATATCTGAAAACATATAGAGCAGCAATGTTGTACGATCAGAGATCTGCAAAACCGCATGATGTGAACAAAAGTTTAACACATGTCACTCACTAACTCTGTGTATCAAGTCACACCAATATCGAATTAGAGCATGGGGGCTGCAATCCATATCATGTCCCTTCTATTTCGAAGTAACGCGACTTGACCTTAATACATACTGGGAATGTATTCATAGCACACACGGAATCCTAGAAGGAACGTTGCGTACATTTGCGGGTCCAAGGACTTCAAACATTCTGCACCTGCAGGTGAAAGGTCTTACCAGAGGCGTGACTAAAAGCCCTTCCGCAACCTAGTTCCTCTGTGTTCTGTGACGCGAACATTGCATCATTCCGCACGTCCACGACGAACTGAACACGAACTACTTTCACGTTACCCTAAAAAAGAAACAAAAGCTGAAATGAGGGTAGGGTGATTAACTGGGTTATTCTGGTGAAGAATGTTATGTGACAAGTGAACGCTCTGACCATAAGGCCATGCTATGAACGATCTCAAAGTGTATCCAAACGCTATACTTCTCACTTTATCACCCATCCTACCCTATCCGGGGCATAAGGGAGAATGAGTGAGTATGGTTTTACGCCGTTTTAACCATAGTCCAGCAATATCACGGCGGGGGACGCCAGCTGCAGAAATGGACTTCACACATTGTACCCGTGTGGGGAGTCGAACCCAGGTCTTCGGCGTGACAGGCCAACACTTGAACCAGTAGGCTATCCCACTGCCCCGGATATGGGAGAAAGCGTGTGCATCCTTGATACTATATCATTCTTAATTTACAAGAAAAGACAAAGGTTATCTATATCTGAATCTAAAAGAATGCCCAATAGAGGAGGCAACAAAATATAAATGGTAAATCATTGTGTCTAGTGATAATTAAGCCAACATTTCTCCTATTTAACCAACTTACTTATCACCTGCGCCATGAATATTTTAACGTCGAAAAATACTTGAATAACCACACGCTTGATATATCATAGAGGGCTTTTTGCTTCCGCAGATTAAGATATTGAAGTGAATGACGAGATTCAAATATCCGGAAATTAATTTATCCGGACAAAATGTGAGAAAACGCCAATGTTCGGATAAGCGAGGTTCAAATGCATATCCGTAATCTATAACAATGGTTATATCTGGAATCAGACCTTCGTTTGGAGATTTGAATGACACAACGATAAAATGAACTAACGAAACAATATATGTATTAAGTTAACGATAAGAGAGCTAAAAGGTTACGACACTTCTTAAAGGAAGCCATGTTGCATAATGGTGAGGTGAAATGGGGTTTAACGTCGTACTTGAGAATATTTCGCTCATATGACGACGTGCATGCATGTGTGTTTCTGGCTGCTTGTACTAGCCCAGACTTAAGCTGGTTTTATAGTGCTAGCCCACTGAGATACCAGGCCGCAGTGAAGCATGAATACCTCACTCAGACACATTATACTGACTCCGAGCCGACCAGTCCTTGTTGTACCCATTAATGCCGAGCGCCAGGCAGGGACCAACAAGTACCATATTTTTACGTCTTTTGGTATGACGCGGCCGGGGATCGAACCCGCGACCTTCCGCTCTCCGGGCGGACGCTCTAACCACTACACCACGGAGGCGATCTATTGGTGAATGGGTCCCGGGTATTTATATAAATACAGAATAGAAATACAACCCTTGACAATCGAGGATATTTACATTAATCATAGGTTTAATAATAAGATTACTGAAGCAAGGGGCGATAACTCATGATTTGAATTGAAACCACCGTCATATGGCTGAAATGTTGCAGAAAAAGCGTCAAATGGTAAATTATAACATAGCAATCACTGTGACAGGATCCGCTGATGTGGCGGGAAAATGTGTTCCCGAATTCGATTTTATCACAAGCCTGGTCGTATGCAGCGCATGCGCAATTCGGTATCCCTTTTACGCATGACGGACATGTAAGATGGTGGGTTCGAGCTCCAGATTCCCCTGGCCCACTTGCACGAAGCGATTCCAGCGCTACGACTATCATGCTAGGTTATCGTAGTGGCAGGTGCAAGAGGGCCCTGGTCACATTAGGCATGGATTCCTCCAACATTAAGCTGACACGCTGTGACATAACTGATAGTTGTTCAAAGCCGCTTAAAGGCATTATGCTACTTACCGACTTTATAACGTAAATCCATGGTGAATTGTGGGCATCTTTTGCTATGACTCGATTCTGACTGAAACAGACATATATATACGTAAATCCATGGTGAATTGTGGGCAAGCTGCATTCTGACTCCATATATATACTTACACATGTTGATGACTTTATCTATAGTAAACAGGTCAATTAGCTGCGCAGAGGTAACACCCTTAGGCAAACCAGAAACTTATGATCCCGAGTTCGAATGAAGGTTTGCCCCGATTATATTTCTAGGTTTGTGAGCACCAAACCAGTGTTTATTGGTTTCACGAAGGCCGCAGATGTCTAAGACCGCAAACATCAAATTGATCCACTGTGATGTGAGTGAGTGAGTAAGTATGGTTTTAAGGAGCGGTTAGCAATATTCCACTAATATCACGGCGGAGGTCACCAGGAATGGGCTTCACACATTGTGCCCATGTAGGGAATCGAACCCAGGTTTTCGGCGTAACTGGCTTTAACCACTAGGCTACTCGATACAGCTGGCGGCGTCAAACCCAGCTCACTCACTGTCTACCAAGGGCGGTGGGGTAGCCTTGAGGTTAAAGCGTTCGCTCGTCACGCCGAAGACCCGGGTTCGATTCTCCTCATGGGTACAATGTGTGCAGCCCATTTCCGGTGACCGCCGCCGTGATATTGCTGGAATATTGCTAAAGGTAGCGTAAAACCCAACTCACTCACACTCACACTGTCTACCAGGTTGGTTCATTTAGCATCATTTTACTCTGGACTGAACTGTGAGGTCCAGACACGATTATTTGGCAGCAGTCAAGAGACATGTTGTTACCCGTAGTAAGTGAACTCTATGGCCTCTTGGTTGTGTAGGAACTGGTCGCAGGGGAACTCCTTGAACAAGTCCAGGGACCTGTGGGTGAAACATTACATCATGAATATTCAACGACTGTGATGATATGTCTCGGTAACCAAATTATAGGAGTTTTTCAACAAAATAACAGGTTCCAAACCGAAACATGAGTCTCATTAACCTATTCAGACAATGACCTACTTTTCAGCCGATGCGAATTTTCTCGAGTGAAAGTGAAAAGAGACACCACAAACAACTATGGTTACACTGAATTCCAATTTCTTGTTTCATAAGAAAATGGTATTTACAAGTTAAATTTAATTTTAAACTTTAATAACATCGTATTTCTATATTTTATGGCGAGGTGTAGGCAGCATGACCTTAACTAAGACGTCACAGACTGCCCCTGTTTGATGAGGTCGTAAAATGATTCACAATTCATCTGGCTCACTGGTTACACCTGTTATGTGTTCTTTGCGCTTATTCAGTGTAGTTTTGTAACGCACAATCTGAATGATATAATATCAAGTCCGTACCAGACCGCCAAACTTTCTAGCGGCAGAGCCTCGTTTTGAGATTTCCACGATTAACAGAGCACGCTGTACGACAGAGCACGCTGCACGACGTGTTTGCAAGGATTAGAAGGAGCGTAGTGTTGCAATATACAGGTGCTTAGATGTATCAAATAATACTGATTAATATTTATGTATCCAGTTGAATGAATTGGTCTCAAAATTCTGTACTGGTTATTGTACGAAGTTGCGCAATAGGACGGAACCCAGTCAGCAGGAAACGAGACTGTTGTGTCATCAATGTTTTGACTTGAATTGACCATTGGCTTCTTTGCATTACGGACATTGGCAGATATGTAACAGGCATGCTACTGAAATGTTACGGGTGTGGTACGGGAATGCTTCGGGTGTATTACATTAGTGTTGCGGGTTTGCCACTGGAATGTTACGGCTATGCTAAGGGAATATACGGGTGTGTTACATCAGTGTTAATGGTGTGACACATAAATGTTACGGGAATATGACGGGTATGATGCGATAATGTTACGGTGACAATACGGAATGTAACGGATGTGTTGTATTAGTGTAACGTGTATGCCACTGGAATGCTCCGGGTGTCTTACGGGTATACGACGGGAATATTACGGGTGTGATACATTAGTATCACTGAAATGTTACGGGTATGCTACGGGAATATTACAGGAGTGTTACGTGTATGCTCCGGGTATGCTACAGGTATGCTACCGAGAACCTACCATAGAAAGTCTATAGGTGGGCTCTGGGTTGTGTGTTGAAGCCGGATGAAATCCTGAAAGAAAAACAGTTCTGTTTATTGTTCTGTTGAAGCAACGTTAATGTTCAGATAAAAACACGTACAGAAAGAACATTATCCGTGTACACATACTCAACGATGATCAACATCCAGATACTGCCAATACCTGGATACCTTACGTATTCCAGAGCGTATTCAGGTTCTCGGAGTTTTTTCTATTATCATTGAAAACTGCTCTGACACGGGTATCTGTTAGCATCGAAAGTCATTAGTCTGTCATACAGACCCTGAAGCAAATATATCCAAGAAAGCCCACGCAAGTCTAGAAAATGTGGCAAGTCTAGATTTCCTCAGCTTCTTCTGAAAATGAAGAAAGTCTCAGGGCTCCCTTTCATTATATTTTATTTTTTGTTACAATGAACTTAATATGTTCATTTCAGAGACTAGTTGTTAGTCTACGAAAGTCATGTACTATGTTGCTAGGGTTACTCACATCTCTGTGTAGCATCAACACCTCAACGGGTCCCTTGGAAACCAGGTGAAACTCACTGGGGAATGTACTCTCCACATCCTCCGGCTGAAAACCAAGGAACAAAGATGCTACATATACTGTATGTGACTATATGTGACTAAGTGGAAGGTATCCTCCCATAAGAACTACAGCTTAAAACAACACATGGTATGGTCCACCGCACAGATTAACTACATGCTGTCCCCTGCGTCTGCTTAATGGATTTGCCAAACAAAACGAATAAAACAAATAAAACATATATAACATTTTTGCTGCGGCAGTTCATGTTGGTTTTGATAGTAGATAGTTTGCCTTCACAAAATGTAAATTTGCAGTTTTCAGTTATGATTGAACAATTTCCGCATCGAGGTGTTTGACATTTTGTTACACTGACTGATAAACCTTTTTTCATAGTATCAGTTTTATACAAAATTGGAAGATTTGCTTTTATAATGGGCATAATTGTACAGTTATTAGGATTGTAGGTACAAACAAATGGAAGAAAGTCCATCTCTGTATTCGTTTCTTTTGTTTTCATAAGTGTCTCTCTTGGGACTTTTACTGCTTTATGAACAGCATGTTCAACTACCGAAGGAGGTATGTCTTGTATACCTATTACATATTACCTATTGGAAATCTTGTTATTCCGTTCTGTTCCATTAAAACCATATAGTTAATCCCATGTCCGGATTAAAGAATCGAGGGTAAGGAAAGAAGTTCCCTTGTAATATTAATTAACATACGTTCCTATACATACTAAGTGAAAACCTCGTTATTCCAGACAGCACAGTTCCATTATAACCGTGCAGCTAAGTAATGGTGGTCCGATTAATTCAAATAATCGAAGATTGGTCTCAGTGACTAAACGACCAAGCAATCGAACATGTTTTCTCATAATCGAACACGACCAATCTTTGAACACTTGTTTGCATTAACAATATTGTTCACAAAGCTGGTTTTGTCAGTGTCATTAAATTTACATTTCATAAGCACTACATGTACAAGCTCGTTCCAAGTCATGATTGAATTTATCTTAAAGAATCCAGGAAATATGTGTTCCTAACATACTAACCATCATTTAAATATGCAAAATTTGCAAATGGACTTTATGCAATTGCAAAACCCCCAAATTACTACAGGTTTTTGAGTTTTACTTTATATTTCGCTCATATCGTGTGTATTTACACAAATAAGCACTGGAACATTTGATAAATGACGCTAACCAATTATTTTCGATGATCGATCGGGACCAACAAGTATAATAGACCAATCATCAATTCCATTAGATTTTAACCAATTCCCAACACAAATACAGCTAAGCCCATATCAGGATTGAAGAAACTTGGACACGGAATGAAGTTAGATAGATAGATCGTAAAATGAACAATCCATGTTTCATTATCGAGCTAAAACCACGTTAGTTGTGGATGATGGCTGTTTTACACGGAACATATTTGTTAAATTCTCAATCTGTCCGATTTCTGTGGGATAGGCACCGGAACAACGAGGCTTCGATTTTGTCTTTAGTAAAATGGCATTTCCCTTTAATGTGTAGGAACGAAAGCTTATTGATTAGAAAAGTCTCTTGTACTTTTTTTTTCGAGATAAAGGTGTTGAATTAAAAATAGATATTCTCATTTAAGAGATTAATTGGTAGGCGGTATGTCGGTAACCGAACATTTATCGACGTCTTTTAGTGTTTCGTGTAGAAACTAATAAATGGTATTATGTCACCACTATGAAACTGCATTGTCTTCTACTTCGTAAAATAAAAGAGCAAGCCCTAGATATAGTGGTTGTAAAACCCTGCAGTCTGCCTGAATTAAGAGTAGTACTCGGAACGAACAGAAACATACCCTCGATGTACGAGGATGGAACTACGTATATTTAGTACTCACGTTTGACGTCATGCCCTTGCTGAGGAAACCCATGGACTTGTTTATACAACCTGACGTCAGTCGATACTCACGTAGTCGTTGTACTGGAATATAGACGACAGAGAAAGGGTTTATTACTAGTCACTATTATGAAGCCCTTTTCTGGTGTCCATCGACGCCAAAAGGTTGGAAAATTTGTAAAAGTTTTGTAAAACATTATTTTACATGATAATGTGATGTTTCTCATCGACACTAGGGCTTTCAAGTCCATGAGGTGAGGTGAAATTAGGTTTAACGTCGTGCTTGAGAATATTTCGCTCATATGACGACGTGCATGCGTGTGTATGTGTATGTGCGGCTGCTTGTACTAGCCCAGACTGAAGCTGGTTTTATAGTGCTAGCCCACTGAGATACCATGCCGCAGTGAAGCATGAATACCCCACTCAGACACATTATACTGACTCCGAGCCGACCAGTCCTTGTTGTACCAATTAATGCCGAGCGCCAGACAGGGACCAACAAGTACCATATTTTAACGTCTTTTGGTATGACGCGGTCGGGGATTGAACCTGACCTTCCGCTCTCCGGGCGGACGCTCTAACCACTACACCGCGGAGGCGGTCTTCAAGTCCATGAAGGAAGTACGGGTAGGTCAGTGACCTAAGGCGTTATGACGTCACGCATCTTATAACCAACTTACTTCTGCCAGACAGGATATAGTAGAACCTCTCCGGGGCCCGGCCCTGGTAGGCGATATGGCGATTGTCGTCGTACCTGGGATATATCGTAATATAAGTATTAAACACTGTAACATGCTCGTTAACCTTCTAACATTGTGATATAGAACCAATAAAAATAAATGTGAATTGTAGGTTATAACGAACTCAAAGAGACTAGTTCGTTATAACAAGATTACGACCATATATCAAGTGCTTGGTTTCATTTTAGACAACTCCGTTAATCAATATTTTGATTAGCAACATCCCCTCTTGTTTACTTGCCAGATCCATCGGCATTTTCACTGTGATCCTCAGTATGGATGATTTACACCTTCTTTAAATTCTCAATAATTTCTGGTTGTCCTGTCGGAAAGAACCAATATAAACTTAAATATTCGTGAACTACAAGATTTTGATAACGACGAACTCAAGAGACTAGTTCGTTATAACCTTAGATTACGACTGATATATACAGTAAGTGGCTAGATATAGATAAATCAGTTTAATTAGGCAACTTTATTTCTTCGACTATCTGTCAGTCTCTTTGGTACGGATATAATAGTTGTGTTTTGGACATTACATCTGAAGTGTCTGAGCAGCTGTTTTCGATCCTAGCAACTTTTATATAAGTTCTATTTTGGTCGGACCCGTGAAGATCCGGGTTAGAATTGGTCTTCAGCAACCCATGCTTGTCGTAAGAAGCGACTAACGAGATCGGGTAGTCAGACTCGCTGACTTGGTTGACACATGTCATGGTATCCCATTAAAACTCTATTACAACCTGAACTGTATTTATCTAAACTTACTTTTAAGTGTAACAGAAATATATTTGTCAAATATAGGACAGGTTTGTTTAGATCGATGCTCATGCTGTTGATTACTACATTTTACCCTTTGAGATATGTCTGGTCCAGACTCGATTATTTGACCACCCTACGCAATCTAGCTCTCTCTACCGACGCCATTAACCATGTCTTAATGTAGTAACTCTCAGCTTGTATGGGCTGGTGGCCTAAAATATTGCTGAGTGCGATGCTCATGCTGTTGATTACTAGGATTTACACACCGACGCCATGTTAGTGCGGCGTTAATCAACAAACCAAATCTATTTTGGTCAAATTCAGTTTTCAAGTATATTTTTTTAAATACTGTTTTCAATTTATATAAAAAGGGTGTGTGACAAGGCACACGTATTTCTGCCAACCTCTCATAAGCGACAACCCGGGCCAACTCCCTCTCCATCTCCAACGGGAACAGGTGCTTGAAGGCCTTAGTGGCGCGCAGCACCCACGACACCTACAGAGACAGAGAAGCGTCTTTGAATTCACAATCAGATCAACAAAGATGTATGAAGTAATGGACAGGCTCAGTGTAGCTGAAGACCCCAAAGGCTTGGTGCCACCATCGTGGAAGTGTTCAAAATGCTCACGAAATTTTAAGTGAGTGAATTTTGTTCAATACACACATAAAACTTTCATCCCTAATTTGCCTTTTACGCCACATGTAGTCTATTTCGGCAGATTATCGAGACTGGTTATTTTATGACGTTGACGTGTTATGGACACTAGTCAGCATAAATTAGATCTAATTAAACCAACATGTAAACAGTGAACTATGAACATGGTAGACCTGTGGTTTTCAGCAACCTATGCTTATTGTAAGAAGCGACTTATTGGATCGGATGGCCAGACTAACTGACGTGGTTGTTAGAAGTCATCGTATATCGACGTACATCGACGCTCATGGTTACAATCACGGGATTGTCTGGTTCAGACATGAATATTTACAGACCATCGCCATGTAGCTGGAATACTGATGTGTCGCTAAACAACAACTAAAAATTAAGAAAATTCGCACATGAAACAATGAAGTAAATGTGATTCCAAACTTACTCTCTTCAAGTGGTAGTTTGTTCTGTACTCGGGTTGTGTTGTAAGAGCTAACTGCATGTCGAAGCTCAGCTGGAAACAAAAGAGAAAAATAAGCTGTTTAAATGTCAAGGCTAAAGTGGCCATCAACAGGGGAGAGGGGCACGACTTGGACATTCGCCGATGGCGCTTAAAGAAGAGTAAATGAGTATGGTTTTACGCCGCTATTAGCAACATTTTGGCAACATCACGGTGGGGGTCACTAGAAATGGAATTCACATATTGTATCCATGATGGGGAAACGAACCGAGTACTTGGCGTGACGAACAAACGGTCTACCCACAAGGCTACCCCACCGCTTCGCCTGGAGACGATGCCTTCTTTAAATGTGCAAGAATGAGTTCGAATCCGAGCGTCACTCTGATTATATCTCTTGGTTTGTTAGCTCCATACTCGTGCTAGTGGGTTTCAGCAACTTGGTAAACATTTGTGACCTGCATCACTTTGGGCTTTCCTACCACAAAACAAGAGGGTTTCATACTGCTCAAATACCATCACCTCCACCATGTAACATGAAAGTGCCCACAGGCCTTGTTTCACAAGCAATCTAAGCACTACGACTTCATGTAGCTCAATGTTAAACTGGGATTACAATCATACCGCTACGAATCGCTTTGTTAAATGTTCAAAAGCTCTCAATCCACCACGACCGTCATAACTCAGCTATAACATATATACTGACTGTCAAAAGAAAGTATACCTAACAAATCGATTTGACCAACAACATTACAAACGTTCACAAAACATTACTTGGCTGAAAACATGTGGACCGTATTTTTTTAATCAATCGTAGCTCAACGTCTGAAGTCTGTACTTGTGCTAAGATTAATTTGGAACAATGAGCATTTACTAACACTAGATTTGAACGCTGTTTTCTGCTGGCCGTTGGTGCCCTGTTTCCGTCGCATCCGTCTCAGAACTGAAGTTGACACTTCTGGGTCCTGGTCGTTAAAATGCCTGCAAATTAAACGGTGAAGAATATCAGAGTTTATCCGGAACAACTAAACTGACCTTATTTCCGTGTCAACTAAAGTCCAAATCACAACAGGTACATTGCACAATTACAATAACTGACATGACTTTATTGAATAACAGCTAAGGGAAATATACGCCCAGACCTTCTCCATAAGTATACTAGTCTTTCGTCCACATTATATGTAATAGTTCTTTTGCTATGCGACGTTATAGCCGCTCACTATCGATATATTTTTTCTTTCTCTCTCTCTACCGCCCCTCCCTCTCTCTCTCACACACACGCGCACACATACACACAATGCACGCTGTCTGCGTCTTGATCTTCCTCACTCTACCATTCATTGAAAATATTTCATAAACAATACTAAACAACATATCGCTCAGTTGCTTCCTTTTACAATGATCTTTTCACATAACGGTATATAATATATAGGTCATACATATAACGGTATATAATATATAGGTCATACATATAACGGTATATAATATATAGGTCATACATATAACGGTATATTATATATAGGTCATACATATACCGGTATATCATATATAGGTCATACATATAACGGTATATAATATATAGGTCATACATATAACGGTATATAATATATAGGTCATACATATAACGGTATATTATATATAGGTCATACATATAACGGTATATTATATATAGGTCATACATATAAGGGTATATAACACATAGTTCACACATACCTTCTCCTGGGGACCGCTGACCGTGCTATTAGACCCACTACATTGATGGCATAGGCCAGGCGGTCCTGGGGCTGCAAACACGGTGTTCATGTAGATAATTATTACAGTTTTCACTTATGTTTCAGTTTATCAAACACTACACTACAATGGATGCAAACTATCAACATCGAGGCCCGTGTGATTAAAGAACGGATATATATATATACTTTAGTTGCATGTTTTATTACGCTTTCAATCCTACGTCTAAAGAGTGAGTGAGTGAGTTTAGTTTTAAGCCGCACTCTATTCTATTTTATAGAATATATTATATTACTATTCCAGCTATATGGCGGCGGTCTGCAAATAATCGAGTCTGGACCAGACAATCCAGCGATCAACAGCATGAGCATCGACCTGCGCTATTGGGACGTCTAAAGAAGTATTCCTATATCATGTACAAGTAAATGATACATTTTGAGAAAGAAGGCAATGGCAATAGACTTGATTTACGTAAACATGGAGCAACTCCTCACTAACCGAAATGCTCAGTTATCAACGCACATGGGCTGTACGTCTCATTCACATAGCGTATTGTGAATCACAAGGTTCCGTTCTACTTACCCGCCATCCTTTGCGCGTCTCTTCCCGTATCTTCTTCACGTCCGTGTTTGTCACCTTCTGTAACATATATTCACGTTATTTAGATCAGGTGTCATTGAAAGTCTTCAAGCCTTATGGTATATATCGATAGTTTCCTCTAAATCAGAGTTATTAGTGCCAGAATCTGTAGATCGTGAGTTTGAGTCCCAGATTCACAATGATTACTTTCCTAGGTCTGGAAACACAACGTGGATTATCACCACAGTGGTAATCGTGTAAGACCCGTATCTCTTTGGAGCTGTGGTATAACTGAAATACCGTTAAAAAAGTATTCGTAAAACCAAACTCCGTCAGTCAACATGTGATCAAGGAGCGGTGCTGATATGTAACTGAAATATTATTCAAAGTGCAGCGTAAGAACAAACAAAGTCACCCTAAAGCTGACCTAAGACGAGCAACCATGCAGAGTGGTGCCCCTTAGCTGTGAGAGTATCCGCTGATAATATTTACCATCCTTAATTCACCTTGGTTTTACAGCAACCGCTCCTTGATCGCAAATGTCCAAAACACAAGAACTTAGATACTGTCCAAAGCGGCATTAAAACACTCAGCCATTCGCACTCCGCAATTTCGATTGTAGTTTGTCATTTAACTCGGCCAAGCCAGCGAGATTACTAAGGTTTCAAGAGCTGGTTCACACAATCTCATTTTAACAGCTCTTAGATCGCACACTAATATGCTGTCAAATAGTTGTTTACATTGATGTGCTATGTCTATCTAGTCAACACACTGAACATATTGCCAGGTGATAGGTATTCCAAGTGCTATCAATATGTCATAAATCCTGAAGAGAGTACGTCCAATGGTTGTCAACCGGAGACATTGCGTACTCAAACACGTCAGCTGTAATGATCTCTTGAATGGAATATGTGTCCGATGTTTAAAGCAGCGATCCTGTGTCCACGCCTGGACACCCGATTCACTTAGACGGCTCAAACGACCAGCATCGACCAATTCTATGTACATCCACACATGTAAGAAGTTGCATTTTAATAAGTAAACCTTCATGACGGAAAGTAATGGCATGTCTGATATATTTTCAGACAACTGCTACAGAAATATATTCTTCTTCATATCATTGCTGCTAATTTATACTGACTGACTGAGTATGGTTTTACGGCGCTTTTAGCAATATTCCAGCAATATACCAGAAATTGGCTTCAAACAATGTACCCATGTGGGGAATCGAACCCCGGCCTTCGGCGTGACGAGCGAACGCTTTAACCACTAGGCTACCCCACCGCCCTTGCCTTTAAACGATGGTGAATATGTAAGGAAAAGTTACGGACTTGAATAAAGAAAATATATTACAATTAATCTAATCTGTTAGAGAAGCAGGAATGAATCGTTGCCTCTCAAAGCAGGAGGGCGGTGGGGTAGCCTAGTGGTTAAAGCGTTCGCTCGCCACGCAGAAGACCCGGGTTCGATTCCCCACATTGGTACAATGTGTGAAGCCCATTTCTGGTGTCCCCGCCGTGATATTGCTGAAATTTTGCTAAAAGCGGCGTAAAAACATATTCACTCACTCACTCAAAGCAGGAGCACCGGTGTGTGTAGCACTAACCCCACCAGCCATGCTGCCGTATAGACAGCTAGTGAGACGGCATTGTCCATCACGCAATAGTCACTCACGCGGGTCAGCCAAGGGAATGATATTAATTGATTAATTAAGATAACGGCTGGTGATAACTCTTTCATTGACGTAGATTGAGAATATTGAGATGAATCAGGCTTGAAGATAATGGAACGTCCAGTCGATGAAGCGAGACAATTCCGCATGGGACCCGTATGGTACAAGACGGTTAGTAGGTGCACTGAAGTGTCTCAGTGTACTGTGGTCAGTTCTAGTAAAACAGCACCGTATGACCAGCGTTGTTCTATACACGTGTCCGCGCATATGGGAATCGATCACGTGACGGAGACGCTGTCCTTGACATTGGCACACCTTCTTTAATCCAGTACATCTGTACTTCTGTTATGATGTATGCAGTATCACCCTTTAAGATTTGATAGTTCATTATTCTGTGATATATAAAACAATTATAGGACACGTATCGTATAGAAGATTACGTTTCAAATATCTAATGAACATTTTATGGACGTCGTGTGCCTATCAAGGTAAGGATTCCGATATCTTTGCATCCAAATTACAGAGTAGCAATGTCCAAGTTAGTGATCCCGATTATATTGAAGCAATGCGAAAATATCTACGGTAATGCTGCAAATATTTAGATAATTATCTTGATGAAATAAATATATATTGAAAAGATCGAACTTGATATTTTGAAACCGGGGGTGCAGTTAGATAAATATGATGATATCGATGTTGTTATTCGATACACACAACGATAACGATGTTGTGATTCGATAAATACCCCGACAGCGATGTTGTGATTCGATAAATACCCCGACAGCGATGTTGTAATTCGATAAATACCCCGGGAGCGATGTTGTGATTCGATATCGGTATGCTGGAATTTGTGCTTCGACCCGTTAACACTGTAACTATTCGGTTGTACAACTGGAGTGTGAGGCTGAACGTACTGGCAGTGCCATTGCTTCAAGCCATGCTGGGGTCCGGTTAGTGAAGGTAGCCTAGTGGTTAAAGGGTTCGCCTGTCACGCGGAAGATCCATGTTCGATTCCCCACATGGGTACTATGTGTGAAGCCCATTTCTGGTGTCCCCTGCCGTGGTATTGCTTGAATACTGCTAAAAGCGGCGTAAAACTGAACTCACTCACTCGGTAATGTTATCATTCTTAAATCTTGAATTTGAAGTTTACAAAATAAAATCACTGAGAATCAGAGATCGTATTTCGAAGTACAGGCTTCCTCGCAGACTAACTCACGCCGAAGACCCGGGTTCGATTCCCCACATGGGTACAATGTGTGAAGCCCATTTTCTGGTGTCCGCCGCCGTGATATTGCTGGAATATTGCTAAAGCGGCGTAAAACACAACTCACTCATTCACAGCGTATGGTACAAGACGGTTAGTAGGTGCACTGGAAGTGTCTCCGAGTGTACTGTGGTCAGTTCTAGTAAAACAGCACTGTATGACCAGCGTTGTTCTATACACGTGTCCGCGCATATGGGAATCGATCACGTGACGGAGACGCTGTACTTGACATTGGCACACCTTTAATCTAGTATATGTGTACTTCTGTTATGTCGAATGCAGTATCACCCTTTAAGATTTAATAGTTCATTATTCTGTGATATATAAAACAATTATAGGACACGTATCGTATAGAAGATTACGTTTCAAATATCTAATGAACATTTTATGGACGTCGTGTGCCTATCAAGGTAAGGATTCCGATATCTTTGCATCCAAATTACAGAGTAGCAATGTCCAAGTTAGTTATCCCGATTATATTGAAGCAATGCGAAAATATCTACGGTAATGCTGCAAATATTTAGATAATTATCTTGATGAAATAAATATATATTGAAAAAAATCGAACTTGATATTTTGAAACCGGGGGTGCAGTTAGATAAATGTGATGATATCGATGTTGTTATTCGATACACACAACGATAACGATGTTGTGATTCGATAAATACCCCGACAGCGATGTTGTGATTCGATAAATACCCCGACAGCGATGTTGTAATTCGATAAATACCCCGGGAGCGATGTTGTGATTCGATATCGGTATGCTGGAATTTGTGCTTCGACCCGTTAACACTGTAACTATTCGGTTGTACAACTGGAGTGTGAGGCTGAACGTACTGGCAGTGCCATTGCTTCAAGCCATGCTGGGGTCCGGTTAGTGAAGGGGTCGTTGGGTAGCCTAGTGCTTAAAGGGTTCGCCTGTCACGCGGAAGATCCATGTTCGATTCCCCACATGGGTACTATGTGTGAAGCCCATTTCTGGTGTCCCCTGCCGTGGTATTGCTTGAATACTGCTAAAAGCGGCGTAAAACTGAACTCACTCACTCGGTAATGTTATCATTCTTAAATCTTGAATTTGAAGTTTACAAAATAAAATCACTGAGAATCAGAGATCGTATTTCGAAGTACAGGCTTCCTCGCAGACTAACTCACGCCGAAGACCCGGGTTCGATTCCCCACATGGGTACAATGTGTGAAGCCCATTTTCTGGTGTCCGCCGCCGTGATATTGCTGGAATGTTGCTAAAAGCGGCGTAAAACACAACTCACTCATTCACAACTCTCTACAGTTTGTGTACAGTGTCAGGTGTCTCCCCAACACGACGCGGACGCTATTGCCCTTTATACCGCGCTATCGGAAACTGTCAGCATAACAACAACTTAAGGTTTTTGTCTCCATTGATCTCCCAGGGTTTGTCTAGCATTCAACGTGATAAATGAATCGGGAATAAGCTCATTAATATAAGCCGACGCTAGGCCTTGATAATGCCTTACGAAACCAATACGCTCGTTTTTCATGCCTCCTTGTTGTTGGGGAATGAAGGCTTCTAAAACGTTTTATGAGTTCTCATTTGATTGAGCGGCTGTCCCGGGACTGAAGAGAGCGGTAGGGGTAGGGGTAGGTGGTGCTGGGGACTCCTGGTCAATAAGTGTATTACCATCAATGTAACTCGTACATTAAATTGTGAATTTGAGTCTGCTGTTACAAATGGGAACATGTAAGGTGCTATATCGCTCTTTTATTTTTTTCGTGTTTGTGTTTGTTTGAAATTAGAAAATGAAATAGCAAATAAAAGTCAAGCACATGTATATAACAAAGAGAAATCCAAACACTACTGTTAACTAATATAAAGGTGAAGCAGCGCATATACAGATTTGAACCAGTCTTTGCACAATGACATCTTTGTTTCCTGTTCTTGTTTATTGTTTAACACCACACTCAGCAATATTCCAGTATATGGCGGCGGTATGTAAATTATCGAGTCTGTACCAGTGACCAACGGCATGAGCATCGATCTACGCAATTGGGATACGATGGCATGTATCAACCAAGTCAGCGAGCCTGACCACCCGATCCCGATCGCCTCTTCCGGCAACCATGGATCGCTCAAGACAAATAGTAACCCGGATCTTCACGGGTTCACAATGATACCCATGCAGTGTGTGACACTTTCATGACACTCACCAGGGAACAATACACCCTTGCTCAGTGTTTCGATGAACTGTGTAAATAGCAACAAAACTACCGCGTCACCACTGACCTACTCAACAATAAATTCAACCTGCATGCAGTGCATGAGCATGTTAGCGAAACATTCTTACATAAGTAACTACAAAGAACACACAGAATAATTAAATGTAATGAAAATCTTGCACCTCCACGTTTCTTACTGATTTCTCTAATATCAACGACATATTTTAAAATATGTATTATATATATCAGGCATATCTCGTACAATAGTATATTGCACACTACATTACTACTCTACAGTACTGGGGGCGGTGGGGTAGTCTAGTGGTTAAAGCGTTGGCTCGTCACGCCGAAGACCCGGGTTCGAATCCCCACATGGGCACAACGTGTGAAGCCCATTTCTGGTGTCCCCCGCCGTGATGTTGCTGGAATATTGCTAAAAGCGGCGTAAAGCCAAACTCAGTGAGTGAGTGAGTCAGTCTACAGTACTGACGTTTAGAGGCTGTACCTATTAAGTCATTATATGGCGTGGTCGCACACATACAACAAACTTTGTCTACGGTACAGTTAGTTTCCACTTTTCACCTACACGGGAACTAATCCAACATAGAATATATCACTCAAAGAAAATTTCTACATGGTTCTAATTTTTAAAAATATGGTTCGTTTTAGGTGTGTTTATAACAAGATAGGTATTTCAGAACGATTTAACCATCTGGCTACCCGCTGGTGCCAAAGTGATTGACTGTCAAGTCGCCATGCCAGGCAGGTTCACTATTGAGGGGGCAACAACTATTGCGATAGCGATAGTCTATTGCAACATACTATTGATAGCGATAGTCTATTGCGGCAATACTATTGATTGCGATAGTCTATTGCGGCAATACTATTGATAGCGATAGTCTATTGCGGCAATATTATTGATAGCGATAGTCTATTGCGGCAATACTATTGATAGCGATAGTCTATTGCGGGACGTTAAACCATTGCGGCAATACTATTGCAATAATTTTCATTTCCCAAATGAATGTATAGTTTAAATGAAATAAAGACAAGTTGAAGTAGTTTCAGTCTCTTTTAAGAAACTTGAAACCCAGATCAAGTAAACAATTAAAACATAAACTCAATGAAGCTGCAAGTCTGCACCCAAACATCCTGTATTTCGCGTTGCGAATTTATCAACGGAAGTCAATCACTAAACTATCGATAGTCACACATACTATCGATGCATCGATAGTTTTTCGTTTCTACCATTGATTAATTGCTATCGGAGACTCAACAATTGCAATCCATCGATAGTTCGATGCATCGTTACAGCCCTAGAATACAGGGGCGGTGAGCTGGTTATTCACGCCGATATAAACGGCCCAAGACCCCCATTCATTCCCTAAAACATTGCATTAGGAAGGCAAGTGATAGATAATTCATTTGACTGTTTTATATAGATAAAATAATATTATACATATCCTACTATTTGTCCATTTCTTTTTGTCACACCAATTTTACTCGTACAAATATGTGCCTATTTAAGTGCAATATCTCTTATATTTTATATTATACATCGGTCTATATTCACAGCAATATCGATGATAACCCAAATATTTTGCCAAATTGTGTACCATTTCATGGTATCTATAATTGGATCAAAATATCACCATTCGACGGAAATATGAAATTGACTTCGCTTATATATACTGAGGGGGAAAAAATAAGGGAACACGTGAAAGCACAAGTTTTCCTTTATTTTTGTTCCAAGGTTTCTTCACAAGTGTTGCATCGCACAGCTTGTGAAGAAACTTGGAAAAAAATATAGGAACACTTGTGCTTTCATGTGATGTCTTATTTCTCCCTCAGTATCTTTGAGGATCAATCATTTATTCTATAATTATGAAACTGGTTGATGACAAATCCATATATACTCGTAATATGCAAGGATTTGTGAAGGGTTACTTTAAGTTGCAGAAAATGTGAATCAATAGTCTCGACACTATTGGTTAAAACAGTACATTTTACAAGAAATCAAAGCGTATGTGGAAAAGAGAACTTTTATCAAAATATCTATTTCAAAATTCCAAACCAATATCCGATGAACTATGAATCAGGTAAAGTGTTACCTAGTTAGTTTGTGCGAGTCTGGACCAGACAATCCAGTGATTGATATCATGAGCATCGATCTACGCAATTGGGATACGACAACATGCATCAACCAAGTCAGCGAGATTGACCATCTGATCCCGTCAGTCGGCCTTTCGACAAGCATAGGTTGCTTAACTACAATTAACCCGGATCTTTACAGGTGAAAGTCTTAGTTAAACTGATTTATAATTTCATAAATGATGCATTGATTTCGTCGATTTACAATAATATAATTCGTGTAATACTTTAAACTATTTCTATACTCTTTAATATACATGTATTTTGTAAGTGTTTATCTGTGTAGGTCAATTTCTTCTCAGTATGATAACATACCTAAACACAAACTCACAAACATAATTCCGGATTCTGCAGAAATCTGTAGTGATATTACTGGAATACCGTTCAAAGAGGCCTTAAAACCCAACTCACTCACTCAGTCAATTAGTCAGTCAGTCACTCACTCACTCGTAATATTTTGTCCTTACTCAACCAGCCAGCCAGCCGTTTAGTCTATGTTTATTTCTGACCGCTAGGTATGAACCCTGAATACCACAGACCCCGCCACCTACATTGTACCATGGTGTTATAACTCAGATGATCAATTGATTGGCAGGACCAATCACTTATCAATCAGATATTGATTATACGTTTTCCAAGCCAGGTATTTCCTAAAGGTTAAAAAGGCCAGTGGTGGATAGCACCGAGCGATATAATCTGACAGTCACATTGAGTTACTCGAGACAAAGTTGATCTGATTTGTACTAAGCGATTATCGTTAGCAGATAAAAGGATTAGTAGTTTCCACAGAGTGGAGCCTTGTATTTTCATATACCTGTGGTATACAACTGGAGACATTGCAATAACAATTCAGCTTTTCGAAAACGAATAATTTCAAAACAGTTACACAGTTTTTCTTATTTTTAATATTATATTTCATGCTATGAAAAGAAACTTTGTCTTAAATTTGATATGAAAGAAAAAAATATATATTGGGATTTTGTATTGACCTCTTAATGCTGACGATACATATAGTGATAACATGTATTAGGAATCAAGTCCATTATCATGTCAGTGTAATTTAATGTATTGTGTTGTAATATAAAAATGTAATTGAACAATAATGTTCAAATTGTTTTTCCTTTAAAACTAAAGTTATCAACTTCAGAAATGGGAAGAAGCACGAATATCAGTCTACAAAAACTAACAGTCTGTTCCTTGACTGTTTCAGTGGTCATTAGCGAAAGCAATGGTTGAAGCATTAACTCATCTCACCGAAAATGCAGGTTCGGCTCCTAAAATGAAATTATTCTAAAAGGACCTCAAACCATTATCAGTTACCTGTTTACAGATTATGTACTCCCACTTTGCAGTTTGAAATATATACGTCGCTTTTACAAATATTCTACCACTATCACGGTGTGGGGTACCATCATGGTTAAAACATAGTTCTAATGAAGAATCAAACCTACTTCTTGGTCGCTACGAGTGAACGTTTTACCACTGGGCTATGCTACAGCGTTCTTCCAAGGTGTTTCATAGGATGTTACAGAAATCGGTACTTACCAGTATCCGTTCCATCTGCTGAGGGGCCAAGTCCTTGATGAAACTGGACATCTCCGCCCGTGGCTTGACCATCGCTTGTATCTCGGCCAGACGGTGGTTGATGTTCTCTATGGGATCCTCATCTGGAAGATATATAGCCACCCTACGTTTTATAGAGTCGAACTTCCTATACTGTATCTCCTCAGCTTCCTTAAGCATCCAGTTGTGCTCCACCTCAAATTCAGCAGCCCTTTCAGCTCGTCGTCGTCCACCCTCCGTGGTGTCGTCTTCGTATGACGCCGTCGACTCCGTCGCCCCAAACTCACTAAACTTATCCTCCATCTCACCAGCTCCAGCATACAACGCGTGTCCATAGCTCCCCTTCTCGCCTCCGCCCTCGAATGAAATACCTCCAAGATCCAAGGACTTTAAATTTGAACTGCTTAAAGGAATTCTGTTGACCGATCCTTGTCTTTTAATCAGAGGTAAAGTGAACTCGCGATCCTGGAGAGTCGCCATGGCTTGTTCTCCCTTAAGGGTTTGGTATCTAATGACGAGCCGTTTGACTGGGTCACCTCGCTGTTGTATTACGCATATCTAATCTACACGACAACAGCGTTTCACGGTCAGGTCGGGCGTAAAAACACATAGGCTTAATCAAATCGAGGTAATATTAATCTGGGCTCGATTTTCCTGCACCGCTCGTCCACGTGCTGTGATTGTTACTCCGAGACTTGTAACGTGATTTGTACCTGGTTCAACACAAGGGACGCGACACGAGATCCAGGTAACTGTTATTGTTTCGCGCCGCCGGTTCAGCGCATATTGATCTTAATCAGTCACACGTAACGCTCAGGATTGTCTTTGAAGACGGATTCCAGTCTCTCGTGTTGTCAGGCAAGGGTTGGCCACTCGCAGGTGCAGTTTGTATGCCCATCACATCCAGGTGACCAGACAGTGGACACACCCTCACTCTCGTCACAGGTGTGACCGGGTTCATGAACGCTCTGTACAACGCCTCTCACCTGTACAGGTATCTGTCGGTAACAACAGGTAACTTTACACAACGCTTCTTTTATGTATGTCACGTAATTTATGGTAAGAAAAAATAATCCACTTATGAATGTTTTCGTCCAAGGTGTGACCAAGTTCATTAACTCTCTGTGCGACACGCAACTACCCCGTGTAGCACAGGTAATACACCTAGCCACTGGTCGCTTTACATAAGCCTTCTTTATCCTCTATCACGTAACATATAGATTTTTATATCCACTTATGAATGTTTTCGTCCAAGGTGTGACCCAGTTCATTAACGATCTGTGCAACACACCTCTCACCTGTACAGAACGGATAGGTACAGGTAAAAATCAGATAAATTAAGATAACATTTTTATGTTATGTCTCGCGTTATAAATCAGAAGTAATAAAATTGCAAGTTTATTAACGCAACATACCTCTCACCCTAACAGGACCAATATATGCAGATAAGAAACAGAAAAAATAAATTAAACTAACACATTTATATTATGTCTCGCGTTGTAAATAGTCAATAATAGAAATGCAAGTTCCTTAACGCTCTTTGCCACACACCTCTCACCTGTACAGGTAAGTACAGGTAGCTTCCAGTAAGTTGAGATACTGCTTGTATATTCTCTCTCATGTTATACATTTTATAGTATAATAATCAACATGTGAATGTTTCATGAGATCTATGAGCGACATGCGTGTTGCTCCTGCCTTGTGTTTGAGATACCAGTGGGAACCTGTTGTAAGGAATGGTGATCCAGTTTACGACATCATAAATACAAGCGTGATCAAAGTACAAGCGACGCCCATAAAGATCACACTGGGCATATTCATTTAGGACAATACTGAATGTATTCTTAAAAACATTATCAGAAAGAATCTCCATATGTCAACAATGAGAGAGAAAGCTAACAAACTAAATCGAATTTACAATGGCCCCAAACAGTGTGCTCTATGTCTGACATTCAAAGTGAGCTGGAAAACTTGGAAGCTATGTCAATAGCTTGACAGATGATTATTTGAGGATATCGGACATCGTAGACTAACGCTTACTCTCTGAATATATATACATTTGGTAGAAATGAATGATTACTTTTAAATTGAAAAGGAGGCCTAGTGAGATGGGAGATTCAAAACCTGAGGAAATCTAGACTTGCTTCGTTTAGGGGTTTAGCATTGCAGAAAGGGCTGGGTGGAAGGGAAATAATGAAGTTCAGGGATAAACTAGAGACCTCGAAGAGGCAGGAACTTAACGCCAAGGGTACAGGTCTTAGAACTAGTGGTTCATTGCATCTGTACTGGACAAGAAGAAGGTGTCGGTATGGAAGTGTAGCAGGGCGTGGAGTCATCCCACAGATGACATCCTTACCTTGTCAGCTTGCAGATGGGGTTAACCTCTTTGGTCATGTGGACAAGGCGTCCGACTCCGGATCAGAAGATCCGTGGTTCGAATCCCAGCACGGGAATCGGAAATTTTATGGCCGCTACATTGGCGCCCAACGTGGGGCTGAGCACGTTCATATTAAATTTGAGCAAAATGAGTCTCAGTACCCTGCTGTGTGGCCCGGGACGTGCCTTCTGTTGACGGGAATGTATGTAGCAGGGCGTGGAGTCATCCCACAGATGACATCCTTACCTTGTCAGCTTGCGGACGGGGTTAATGTGGTCATGTGGACAAGGCGTCTGACTTCGGATCAGAAGGTTCTGTGCTTGGGTCAAAGTGAGAGTCCCTGTACTGTGTGGGCAGGATGGGCTATGATGCGAGTCTCTGTACTGGAGGAGTGTAGATCTGGATGCGAGTCTCTGCGTTGCTGGAGTAGGAGTCTGGGTTCGAGCCCCTGTACTTGGGATATGACTGGGTCTGGGTGAGGGTCCCTGTACTGTGTGGGCAGAAAGGGTTTATGATGCGAGTCTCTGTACTGGAGGAGTGTAGATCTGGATGCGAGTCTCTGCGTTCCTGGACTAGGAGTCTGAGCCCCTGTAAGTGGGGATATGACGGGGTGTACCTGAGGGTCCCTGAACTGCGTGACCCAAGGGGCTCCGTTCCGACTCTTTTCACTGGACTAGTAGATGGGGTATGGGTGGGAATCCCTCCTACCAACAGCTCACACAACACTGACACAATACACCCTTACTATACACAAAGCTGTCTAAATGGGAGCACTCTGACACACCGAGGCTCAGCATGGGTCTATATAGTCCTGTAGGCAGCATGTGGCATGACTCTGTCATATCAACTTCTACAATGAACTCTAACAGCGTTGAGAAAACAATTACTTCATACGACAATACATTTTGTTGTTGACGCCACAGAGCAACCATTGTGTCCACAGACTTTCACAATATATTTAATCACTACATTGTAGCTGAAAAAACAACAAAACCGTGCCTTGTGACCATTAGTGACAAGGGGAATTTTCTCTCTTAAGACACACAGATGAGGTTTTAGTCACTGCATTGAAAACTGCGCAATCACCGTAACAGGGGCGGGTAATTGACACATAAGCATGTAGGTGGCGCTCCAGGAGGCCAATCAGCTCGACTGGTTCCTCCAGAGCAGTGGTCATAAATCTGAAACGGAGCCGGTAATTCATGTCCTGAGATGGGATTTGCTCTGATGGTTCTGCGACCGACCTTAACACTTCACATTTACTTACTTTCAAAGCAATGATTATGTGTAGGTGTATTGTAGACTTGATATCCAGTTTCCTTTACCTGAGAGCAACGGGGTTCTGTTCCTTCTACAAGGCATGTGTTCGACTGATGAACAATTTTACAGAATGATGAAACTACCTCGATCCATAACCAGTAGACCGTTGAAAATTGATTTTCACGTTAATAGAACGCCGGCAACAAATGATATCACTTTTGATGCATAATTTCAACATGACCATAAAATCTATAGTTTTTGTTGGACGATGGGGCATAAAAAACTGTACACTGGCGTATGTTTTTCATTACCGGAGTAAATTACACTGCACTTGATCCAGGCAGGCACGTTGTCCTGGTAACACCGCGCTGCACTATTGGATGGATTCTGTTGGGGCAAAACGGTTGTAAATAACGTTTGAAGGTTCTGCGACCGATTGGAATATTGAAAACGGCTCAGATGAAAACATTATCGGTATCTGGGTGGTTAAACAATCAAGTGCGAACTTCTTGAATGACATTTAGAAGAGCGTTAACTGTCCTAATGTAAAGTTCACGTCACGTCTTTATTTAGTGTGTGTGCACGCGTGTGCGTGTGCGCGAGTTGTGAGCATATTTTTCACAAGACGTTTCTTGATCTATGTATATTTATAACAATCTATGTATATTTTCGATTAAAATCCAGGCGCCCCCCAGAAAACCAAATGGCCAGTCCCACACAAATCGCCGAATGCGGTATGTAAAGAAGTACAAATAACTAATTAAACAAAATCTAGCCGGACATGAAGGCCAAAAGATGGACGGACGTAGGGGCAGAATGAGTGAGTGACTGAGATAAAGTTAACAATTGATTTCACACCATCATTAGTTCAGCCATATTGTAACGATAGAATGGGATATAGATAGATAGATAGATAGATAGACAGATAGACAGAGACAGACAGACACAGACAGGCAAACAGACAGATAGCTAGACAGACAGACAGATAGATACACAGACAGACAGACAGGTAGATAGATAGACTGAGACTGAATTTAGTTTTACGCCGCTTTTAGCAATATTCCAGCAACATCACGGCGGGGGACACCAGAAATGGGATTCACACATTGTGCCCATGTGGGGAATCGAACCCGGGTCTTCGGCGTGACGAGCCAACGCTTTAACCACTAGGCTACCCCACCGCCCCAGATAGACAGAAAGGTAGGTAGGCAGTTATAGATGGATTGATAGATACTGCTATGTAGATGAAGAGAGATACAGACAGAGGCTACCCCACCGCCCCAGATAGACAGAAAGGTAGGTAGGCAGTTATAGATGGATTGATAGATACTGCTATGTAGATGAAGAGAGATACAGACAGACACATAGGTGGTATCTAACCAGCATGTCATCATCAGCTGGAAATAAAGTGGTTCTTCCCTCGGGATAAGTTTCCTTCCAGCTCCTTCGACTTCCGATATTGGTTACTTGTCCGAGGCATGAAAACCACACTCAGTATCTTCGCTTTAAAATACTTCTTCCACACGAACAGACTGTACTGGAATCAGTAAAACATGACACTGTCTCGGCTGATTGCCTGGCAACATGCCCACCAAGGGAGGCGTACGACCTCTGCTTCCTTCACAGCAGACGACAGCCAGCCAGGATCATGTGAGTCTCCGTGTGGCCAATAATGACTCGGAATAGCACAACGCTGTCTCGGCTGGGGCATTGACGGCTTCATGCCTCTGCAGCATGGTCGTCGGCGGGACTACACTGACACGCACCTGCTAGTCTGAAGGATTATTTCAAGTCGTAGGGTTTTCGATATTAATCGCTTCCAACAGTTGGACCATAAACGATTCTAGTTTTACTATTCTGGGTGGCGAAGCGGTTAACGCGCTCGGTCGACTACTTTCGATTCTTTCATTGTAATTGTATGTGAAAGCCATTGTCAATGAACATTTATATTCCTGTACTGAACCATGCGCGGTTTAGAGTTACGTCCCTTTTACATGCCAGGAACCGCAGATCGCGGTTATTGATGATATTGATGATCATTAGCCTTTCATTGGGCTTACCCAAAGTGGTTACCGGTCAAGATCTACTTTCTTTTGGGATTTCTTGAAACATCAAACTGACAAACTGAACTGTTGCTGTGATTGAACAACAAGCACATTTCGACACTGAATTCAGAAACGCGTGTCTAATTAATTTACTGACTATATATATTCCCCATGACCAGTTGAGTGCGAATCTGCCTCCATTTCCCAACACGAGCAAAATCAGTTGTGTGGAAAAACACAATTATATGCTGGTCTGCCTGTCCAGCTGATCTATTG